GTACTTCTGTGTATTTGGTTACTGTAGTACCGTAGTACACAGTACTGCGTGGAACGATGCTAACTCATTTGTTCAAACATCATTTTGTTCCTCACTTTGAAAATGAAAGGTTTACTGAAAACAAGAAGGAAATCCATTAAAAACATGAAATGATTTTCCAAGGACAAACAAAATACAAAATGAGAAAAAAAATACAGCATTGATTTTGTCAATGGAGAAATAAAATATCAATGGCCGTGTGAAGAAAGCTGAAAATAAATCTGTGCATCTATAAAATATCCAAAATAAAATGTACAGGAAATGTGGATGGACGCCCCAGCTCAGGTTCCGTAGCCACCATGAAGAAATGACAAATAAGTTAGGGATCAAAAATACATGAAGTACTTGAAGTACTTGACTTGTACATGTCCATTCAACTACTTCATATCAGCCCTCTATCTTTCACAGTGGTTTTTGGAAGATTCTTTGTATTTTACTTAGTGTCATACAGAAACCCAACACTAGTAGGAGCACTGTTAAAGGCTGCTCTCTTCACTCAAGAGATGCGTCAGAAAATGAAATAAAACGAACAGCGCCACCTGATCGCGGTCTGTAAAACAACAGCAAACGTTGTTTCTGGTCACTACCAAAGATGTAGTGTTTGTAACTTTGACAACGTTAACGTTCATGCATTTTAAAAAAAAAAGGTTGGATGACAAACAGTGTCAAAGTGTCGACAGAATACATTAAAGCTCTTGATTACAGTGTATTTACTCAGCATTAAAGTTTGACTCCGAACTGGTGTTACATTAGGAACAGTATTGTGTTGTCAGTAATATTGCACATTATTGTCTTTAATGATGTAACACCTGCTGCTGCCACATGATTGAAACAAAGGAGCCAATACTAAGAGTTTAAACCTGTGGTTCCCAAAGTGGGGAGGACCCACCCTTTGTCCCCCAGGGGACGTAGCGATTTTGAATGTTTTGATGTGTGTGTGTGTGTGTGTGGGGGGGGGGGGGGGGGGTACGGGGGGAGTCCTGGTGAAGAAAACGTTTGGGAACCACTGGTCTAAACAAATGAGCAAGTGAATTTAAAATGAATTTAAACTGCAGATTATCAAGCAGGCAGTAAAAAACAGTGAAGGAGCAGCAGGAGAGAAAGTACCGGACTAACTGGAACCCAAGGCTTCGTCTTTCTCTGGATTTGGAGGAATTGTTTAGAAGAAATCACACTATTTTAGAACAGTGCGACTTAAATATATTATGTTTCTGTTAACTATACATTTTTTGACAGCTGCAACTAATAGTCTGATGAAACGTGGAGTCCAGAAAATAAGATTCTCTTGGTGACATGGGAAAAACATTTCCTACATTCCTAAACTCATTCACCTTCGTTTTGTACCATCGTCTGAGGGTTTTTTTAAAAAGTCAGTTAAACACCTGGTCTTTCACTTCAAACCTTTCACTAAGAACCAATTTTCCTCAATATTAAATTTGTGACATAACACAGCTGTCTGACCTGGGTGACCTCATCATTATGAGTCTGTGGAAGCTCTGGATCACAATGTTTCCAAATGTAACGTAAGTATTAAGTGTGTAACAGATCAGAGCCTGTGTCACCGCCGACCTCAGTGAACAGAAATGTTTTCACATGTGCAGCATCTGAAGGATTTTGTTGAGATAAGTTCAGAACGACCAGCATATGAAGAGTCAGTGTCAAGGCACATACAGTGTACCTAGATGTGCTATGTAAACACACACACACACACACACACGCACACAGCTCAGTGATAATAGAAACCCTCATGTAAAGGGCAGACATGTTGTGTTGCAGCTGTTTCCTCACAGCAGACATTTTAAATGTCACAGTATAAAAACCTCTCGTGTAAAAAATAATCGAAGGGATTTCTTGCTTCTTTTTTTTTCAGCACCCTCAGCGCCACGTCTGTGGGATTGTGTGTGTGTGTGTGTGTGTGTGTACACTGACTCACAGTCACACAGATGTGTCCTGGGAAACTTTTCTTGACAATGTTAAAATGTCTGCTAATAAAGGACCAACAGAATGTACTAGTGTTTAACAAACTACATTAAAAATATCAGTTTCTCTGGTGGGAGACTGAAGACAACAGAATGTCTAATGTTCTTGTGCTTCTGATCCCAAAAAGAACACATTTGTTGCTAATGTTTTCAAATGTTGACTGTACTGTCTGTGTTAGCTTAGCCAAGTCAGTGTTGCAGTTACAGTAAATTTCCCAGTGCCTGTGGGAACAAACTAAAAAAAACATCCCTGTAATTATAGGAATTTCTCTGGACACGTGGAAAAGAAGACAACCTCATGTTTAGCACTGTTAGATCCCAGGCCATAACAAGAGGGAGAGCCCTCAGTACCTGACCTCTAGTGGTCAAAATCTGCCCAACGCAATCCAGAAAATAATGGAGTAGCAAAAGCTTTTGGTTGAAGGTACTCATCTGTTGAGTTTTGTAAACGTTTACGTAAAGGTTTCAATATGAATTTACTGCATTTTCTTTTCCAAACTAAATCAAGGTCACAGGTCATGACGTAGACCAAAGATGGCCGACATCAGGGTCTCGTCTACATGTGAGGAGCATCGATGGTTGACATGATTTCCTGCAGTTCCCTTGTTCACTCCACAACATGTTATCACATGACACAGCGGTGATGTCACTGGTGTGTTCAGGTGCTGTTCCCTTGTTCTGGCTCAAACAGCAGCATTGCCAGCTGGGAGCGCGAGCCCAGACCTTCTAGGTTACTCTGAACACATCTGTGGAAAATGTCTTCGCTCAGTCGAGGGTTACACGCCTGATATCGGTACCGCTGATGCAGCGCCGGCTCCACTGCCCTGAACACGTGCAGACCGGAGTACTTGACAAACATGTCATAGATGTCCATGGTCTCTACTAGGTCCTCATTCTCTTGGACGTCGGCCATCATTCGTGTTCGCGTGGCCATGTAGTCGGAGTTGTAAAAACATGACTCGTCCAAGGATCTGCGGTCAAAGTGTCCGGCGTCTTTCACCTGGTCAATGGTGGCTGGCTGCTGCTGGTTATGGTAGGCCACCTCAGGGTTGTAATCCTGGAAGTGGACGGGGAAGAACACCTGCCAGTTGTTAATGGAGTTCATTCTGCAGCGGTTGAGGAACTGAGTGTTGACGTATGTGTTGACGCTGGCCAAGAAGAACAGCGTGTCCACCGGGTGTTTCTTTGACATGATGTCCATGAACTTGATCTGGGACGGTGTTTCTGTCTTCACACTTATCCATGGGATTTTCACTGTGGGGTACTTGTGTTCATAAGCACTGATCTGGGTTTTCACACTGGCAAAGATGTCATTCTGACTCACCTGTTGAGCCTCCACTGGGTCGTAAATAAATAAGAACGTAAGGATAGCGTTCTCACTCGTCTCAAAGGCGTTTGAGGCAAACACTTCAAAGAAACGGTCAACATAGGGCCGGTCCTCCCGTGTCAGCGGTATAATGACATGGACCCTCGTCGCTTCAGTCACATAGGGCATGGGAATGACTTCAATCTGGCTCAAAGGTCGCACCAGGTGAACCCTCTTGGTGATGGAACGGCTGTGACCCTTCTGGTTAACCACCTCCAGCTGAAGGTCCAGCGTGTACTCCATGCCCCTGATGGGGTCAAAGCGTCTGTAACCATTAATTAGCTGCTGCTTCTTCAGGTGGAGGACAGGCTCGTACTTCCTGTTCAGCTCTCCGATGGCGGCATCAATGACATCGGCCACATCCATGCGGTCAACACCCTGGAGCTCACACTTGGGATTACCATCAATGCAGGAGTAAATCTCTTCCTCGGTGAAGTATTCCCACTTCAGGACTTCAAACCGTGATTGAGGCTCAAAGGGTGGGTTGACTCCCACTGGCCAATGGGCACTTCGGTTTCCCTCAAAAGCCACCACACTCACGTTCTTTATTTCAGCCTGCAGAAACACAAGAGGTGTTGAGACAAATATCAAATAATTAGGGTTATAAAATGATTCAATTTAATTTAATCATAATTAATTAAGAAAAATCAACATTCCTAAATATGATATTTACAAAAACCTTTTTGAAAAACTTTGAAAAATCCAAATGATAAAAAAAAAAAGTCAATAAATATGCATAGACTTTACTGTAGATCTTCACTTCACGTAGAACGCACTGACAGATTGTTGGCGTTCAGAAAGTATATTAACGTTTACCATGTTCATTTTTAATACAAGGTTAAAATCCATCGCTGTTTGTTTGTTGTCCATATTTGAACTCTTGGCTGAACCACAGTTTTGCGACACAGCAGGTCAGCTCACCTGCAGCTTGGAGATCTCTTCATAAGTCTTCTGGAGCTCAATCTCAGTGAAGAACCGATGAAGCCGGTACATCTGTTCAGGATCAGAAACTGGATGGACAGTCAGAGCCGTCTTCAAATGTTCACTCTGCTCTTTACTTGGATCAGAGTTTTTCACCAACTGGTAGCGGTGGTACTGAATGCCCTGGAAGGAAACAGACCTTTTTTATCAAGAATCCTGCATTTGGCACGACAAAAAGAAGCTTTGTTTCCACCTTGTGGTGACACAACAGTTCTTCCATCCAAAGAGACACCGTTGTATTGTAATGGCAGCATCTTGAGCTGATTTGTGCTGCTAACAAACTCGGTTCTGCTGTAATTGCTTGGTGTTGGAAGACAGAGGACTGTTGTTGAACAGCTACACAGCTCTAGCCTCAGTGTTTTTGAGAGATTTCCTGGAAAAAACGTTCTTTTGAGAACTCTTCACCACTTCATTTTATTTTTTTAAAGCAAGTTTTGAAAACTGCCACCTATTGGAGCTGGAGTGACTAAAATGATGAATTAAAAATAAAATCAAGCTCTTCAAAGAACAAAACAATGGAGATGCTGCTTAACAAAGCAGAGAGGCCACTCTTACTAATGTTTGCTTAAGGATTAATATAACTTCCTGGAGCAGGACTTGTCTGTTGTCTGTGTCTGTTTGTTGTCAGTGATCTCACTCAGCAGACTTTCTTTCCTTATACCAGGCCTTTCTACTTAACTCTGCATCAAAACCTTATCCAAGCGATATTATGTCTTTACTTGGCCATGCAAGTCACTCTAAACTATTGGTTCCAAAAGCAGGGGGCATGCACTCCCAGGAGGCAGGGAGCTATTTTGCCAGAGGGTGGAGGGGGTACAGCAAGATAAGGAGTTTTGAAGCTCTACAGTAGATGTGACTGCGTTGACATGGGTGGTTCAACAAAAAGGGGCGCTGCAGAAAAAGTCGAAGAACCACTTCTTAAAACTATGAAACTAGGTTGGTATCCTGAACTGAGTAACGACCGAGGGGGAGGTATTTATAATGCAACAACCAGGAGAAAAGGTCGGAACCTGAAAATGTTCCTGCGTTTGTACTGTAGTGGAATTTCAATGATGCATTTAAGGCCACTACAGAGGGGACATTTGCATTCTGAAGACTAAAGCCTTCTAAATGCAGGAGAAAATCACCTTAGAGGGCAGTGGGACACAGATCAAGGTTCAGTAGAGCTTCCTTGTTTGACCTTAAATGCTAATGACATTACAGAAGCACAGCATGTTGAACAACAAGGGATTTTCACACCATTAAACCTGAGCAAGGTTGAACCTAGCTGTCTGTTTGTCCTTGCTACACTGCTGCTGCTGCTGCTGCTGCTGCTGCTGCTACTGCTGCGAACGCCGTGCTAACATAGTAATTACCTTTGTATACAGCTGCCTGTCAGTTTTAGTGCCATCCCAAAGGCAGAGCATGATGTCTGTGTTGATGTTTCTGCTCCACGTGTTTTAATGAGAGTGTAGCTGTAACCAGTCACACAGCTGTGTGACATCACTGCTTTTTTTCTCTATAGCCATTTGTTGCTTTAAACTTTCAAAGGCTCCATTTTCACTCCATTACACAGTAAGAATTAGTGAATTATCTGATCTGTTATGATGATGTGTTCACTGCCTACCTCGTGTTCACTAACACAGTTTGTGTTGGTATAATCAATGATGCATCTCCCAAGCCACTCGTCAGGCCTGGCACTCAGGATGTCATTCCGACAGTTTTCTATGAAGGGTTGGAGTCGCAGGAGCAGAGTACGAGACAGCAGGTATCCAAATCCTCCGTAGCAGTACTTCCCTTCCATCTCTCCTCCTATGAACTCCTCAGGACTGCCCAGGTACAGCTCTCGGTCCATGCTCAGGTGACTCACCAGGGTTTTGATCCTGTCTGCCTCTGTGTATGTGTCATCTTGAGCAAAGTAAAACCAGTCGTATTCGTTGATGTAATGTTCTAGGATGTATTTTATGGTCTGGAACATGTTCCAAATCAGTCTCTCGTCTCCATGAGAAACCACAAACATGCCATGTGGCACTTTGCGGTTGTGCGTGCCAGTAAAGAAGACCACAGAGTCCAGGTGATGGCTAATTGTGCGATTGACAGCTACTCCCATGGTGCCTATTGTGTTTTTGGACGTCAGGACCCCAACCAGTAGACGCTCTCTCATCCCCAACTCTGTGCTTATGTACCGGGCCCTGGAGGTGACACAAAACAGTGATTGGACCAATGGTGTTTCAGATGACAAGGAGGGAAGATTTAAGTTTGGTTTGAATGATATTAACGTTCATTACTTGATTAATGACTGTAAGAAATAAATGTCGACTACATACAGTATATGTGTGTATTTACGCATGTTGGTGTGTAATGTGTTAAAATAAACTTGAAGGAAAAACCAGCTGTGGAAAATGAAGTGGAGTCAGACTGTGATTCATGTCTAAACCTGATTTCTGTGGTAGAACTGAATGTGACGTCCACTGAAGTCCAACCATGAACCACCTATATTTATGTCTGTAAAACAAGTTCCATTCACAAAACATGTAATGTGATAATTACAGAGGGTTAGGTTAGGTTATTATAATGAATATAACCAAGTATTTTTACAGTAAACCAATCAACAGTATTCATCATGGACTTGTGTGCAGACTGCTGGTTGGCACAGCTCACCATCTGACCTCAGCAGACCTTCACTGAGGAAAAGAGCTTCATCACAGAAAATAAGGTGTTAATCTCAGCTACGCTACAGGGATTGAAAGCTGGCAGGAAACAGCGACAACGAACGTCTTCAGGCAGGAATTGAACACAGACTAATCCTAATCATAAAAACTTCTGGTATTTTACACAAACACTAACCAGGTCGACCACAATAGTTTTGATTTATAATCTTGAATTATAAGCCTTTTAAAGTTTCTTGTTATACAGTGTTAAACAGTTATAAACAAACAGACAGACAGCTGTTTGGATATTGAGGACAACTTTTTAAATCACTTTTAAGAAGACTTGGTCTGTAGGCAATCAAAATAAAAAGTGAATTAAAGACTTAATTAAAGTCTCAGCGGATCAGTCGTGATCCAGTGGTGAATTACACCTGTTTACTGACGTGTCTTGTTCTCCAGTAGTTGTAACGCTCTCTAACTGTTCAGGAGTCTGATATTTTGGCAGACGATTGTTAATTTAGTTTGAAAAATATTTGACTAAATGATGATTGATTTCCTGTCCATTAGTTCTGGAGTCGTGTGACATTTAGTACAAGTTACTAGTTACATGTACTGTATACACGGGTATTACTCTGTTGTTATTATATCATACGTCATAACAGTGTGGACAAACAGGCATCAATTAGTGTGGATGACGATGATGATGATGACGATGATGATGATGACGATGCGGCCTGTGCTACTGTAACATTTAAACCAGAGGTGTGTCCTTAAACACTCCTACACACACGTATTATCGGCCAACTTTTACGCAGACTAAAAGTAGAGTCAACCACACGGCGCTTACCTGAAAACTTTCTTGGGGTTACTCTGTTGGACCGGTTTGTACGGGACTATTCTTGGTTCAAAATCCTCCTCAGACTCCGTTTCGCTGATGGCAGAAATTGAGTTGGGCTTCCGGGCTCCTTTAAGCAGTCCATCCTGACTTAAAGTCACGTCTTCGACCTCCTTCGTGTCTAGATAACATGCTTCTTCTGTCCAGTTTACACTCAACAAACTCAAAGTGAAGCCTAAAGAAATGCCGATGACCACCGGGCCGACCGACCGCAGGGCAGACAGAAGGGCAGAGAATCTCATCCTGTGCGTCGACTCCTCTCCTTCACAGTCATGCGTCGTTTCTACAGACTTAGAAGAAGAAGAAGCCTATGGTGCGAGACGGCGTTTTTCATCAAACGAGAGAGAAGCGGACAGTTTCCAGCAAAGGAAAAGATGTATCTTCTTCCTTAGAAATTACGCTGGAGACTTACGTGTCAGTACAGTGGCTCTCTTGGCTCCTCCCCGTTCAGACGTCAACGTAAACCCAGGGTCTACTTCCAGGCAGAGTGGATGAATACAGTCGGTGCAACACTTGTACCAGGATTAAACTGACGTATATGTTCATGTCGTCATATTTAACAAATGTATATGTTTTAGTTTATACATATGTTCACTTCTGAACTGTAATGTCCACAAAACTATAAAACAAATACAAATAATAGAACTTACAACTTAAAAGTACACAGCAGAATTGTCCTTAGAATATTCGCCAAATTCACTGTAGGAGTGACGTCAACTTAATATAAACACATTCGACATTTTTCTTTCCAGTCAAGTCAATAGTTGCTGTTGTCATTAACATTGTTTGACTGTCATGTATGTTCCTAAGGTATTGTGTCCAGTGTGTGTTGCCAAATATTCACGTGTGACGTGGTAGGAATTTGTTGTCATAGTTTTGTGTGTGTTTCTAAATAATTTAACAAGATTAAAAGAAAAGTAGAAATTATAGCAGTCTGCCCTCGATTTCTTTGTTTTTGCAGCTGCTCCGTTTGTACTTCAGTTCATTCATCATTATTTTTTTTTCTATCAGTTCGCCACCTCTGATTTCATGCAGATCTCTGTCTTTCCGGGTGTTTTTGGCCCAGATCCACACAGCTTGTACAGCATCTGCAGTTGGCGATGAAAACTCATCATTATGATTTCCAATTCAGACAAACAGAATTATCTCGGCGCAGATGATTTATGTTCATAATTTAAAAAATACAGGAATTTATTAAAATTCAATGTTGAAATGTCGAGGTCGTAACCTGTTTACCAATGAATACCAAAATACAAAATATCACCATCAAGTAAGTCTGCTCTTTGGCAGGGATCCAACACGTCACAGCTGGACACAGTACATCTGTCTTGTGTAAACAGTAAAAGCTTTGTGTTACAACTAAAAAAATGTTTAGATTATATATACAATATGTAAATACAAATCAGCGTTAAACATTACAGCGTCGTTTCAATACAATTGAAACGTGTTTTAATTAGGTAAAACCAAAATGTTTCCTATGTTCCATATTTAGTTAATAAAAATGTAATTCAATAATCCTCCCTAATCATTACATCTATTCCCTGTTAATTAACCTTACAACCTTGTTATTCCATTCCAACTTCTAAAAACGTATATTAGATTAGATTATATTAGATTATTATTGTAATTAAGCGCTCGTAAGTAATTCCTCTCACTTCTGTTGTGAACATGAACGCACCATCTTAGGTGCCCGTGTAGCTGCCTGAAGAAACATTGTAAATGTGTTTAGTAACAGCGAGGCGGTGCCCGTCACTCAGTGTTGGAGTTATTAGCCTCAGGAACAGAGGAAGTTGTCCTGTGGCAGTGAACGCATTCGTGTTGTAGTTCGAAAAGCCTACTTCTTTCCTTTGCACGCTTTTTTAAGCGCAGTTCATAAAGCTGCGGTCATGGAGTGTCGCGTGTTGTCAATTCAGAGTCATGTTGTCAGAGGATACGTCGGGAACAAGTCGGCATCTTTCCCGCTGCAGGTAAGAACCGGAACACATTCACTGCATTAAATATGCTGTCAAGTGAAGAAAACACGATGAATCCCCTAAAATAGTCCATGTGAAACAATAAAACAGAAACTACATAAGTCAAACTTTAGTCCCAAAAGAACGAACAAGACTTTATTCACAAATGTCATTTGACTGATTTGGATACAGTTGACCTCTTACACTGAGCTGTACAGATCTGCTACTCCACTAAGAATGAAACCAAGAAATAATGTTACCCTTGAAATATTGTTAGATAGTCGACAGTATAAAGTAAACGTTGTCTTAGTTGTCAGTACTAGTACAGTACACTCCAGGAGTGTTTGGTAAGTCCCACAAACCCCCTGCACAGGGTGCTGTAAATTAGTTGTACTTCTGTTTTTCTTAAGTTTCTTTAAGTTTGCATGTCAAACAATATTGATTTACATTGGTATAATTGTTTGATATGAATTAGCGATTTAACCTTGGCTGCTTTGGCTAGCCGTCCTAATTATCTGAAGTTCTAAGAGTTTTGAAACATAATTACAGTTTCAATCACACTTTTTGACCTAACTATTCACACCATGTTAACCCTTTTCTTAAAAGAGTTTTGCTGCCAACCTTAGGCAGAACAGCATGAAAAGACTCCAGCAGTATTCTTCATCATCGTCATCATCATCGGGTCACCCCTACTGTTGTTCTCTCTTAACAGTTGGCTGTTTGTGTTTCTTCAGGTGCTGGGCTTTGAAGTGGACTCTATCAACTCGGTGCAGTTCTCCAATCACACAGGTCGTTTTTGGTGCCTTTATCACTTTGATCTGTTCTTTTGTTATGTTTCCTTGTATGTGATCTGATCACGTGGTGGGAACAGTCAGCTCAGTATTTCACTTGTAAACCAACTCTGATCAAGACCAACTTTTTTTTACCAATACAAAGTCTAATTTTCTATTTTTGAGGTTTTTACTTTTCAGCAGCAGAGTGAAATATCACTGAAGAAAAAGAAAACACAACATGATACAACACTTTTTCCAAGCAGCTTAACAAACATAGCCTTTGGCCAGATTGAAGAAACACTTCTTTACAGTTTAGGCCTGAGGTGTGGACAGAAGTCATTAGAGTATTTATTGGAAGACTGATCTGTGCCTGTTATATGTGTGGGTGTTGTATCTCACAGATGTGAGTAAAGTTCCACACCTCTTTATTATAACATGACTGAACTCCAACAAAGTTAATCATTTATCTTGTCCAGTAAAAACTACTTGGCTGAAGTTGGTAAACCTGTTAGTGTTACATTGATTTCAATGATTTGCTTGGTTACTTTGAGCATCTCCAACAGGAAAGGGACTCAACATCAAAAAGTTTGTTCACTGTCTTTTATTTAAAGGTGACTATTGTTAGGTTGAGGTTATATCCTTTAAGTTTTATATTAACTACTAACTATTTTTCAGTTTAAAAGTATTAGTTTCATTAGCAAATTTGTTTGTGTTGGGTCTAAAGTATGTGAAGAATGTGCTTTAACACTAAAGCCTTAGAGTGAAAATAAACATCTGCTCCTGACACATGTTGTCCTACAGCAGTAATGTATAAAAGTGAGGCAATAATGAACATGTGACTTCCGTCTCCAGTTACAGCTCATGCCTCTGCCTGGCTGTGAGGCCATGACTGTAGGAGAAGACTGAGGGTTTATTCCAGGTTATTGGTGAAGAGGGGGGCAAAGAGAGGTGGAAACCAACGGACTGGAGACAAGGACTGTATTCATTTAGCTTGGGGGGCCCAGGCACCACACAGAGAAGAGGGAACTCTGTAAAACTACAGGGGGGAGGAGGGAGAGGGACCAGAGAGAGGACAGACCTCAGTTTGTTTTCGTTTATTCAAAGTTGACATTTTTACCCGTGCTTTAAATCTGTTTTAGAAATCATATAATTTTGATAATATTCAAGCAGCAGTTCAAAAGTATCCTTCTGCTCTGTGTCTGAATCATAGGCTACGACCACTGGAAGGGACAAGTACTGACAGCAGAGGAGCTGAATGTGTTGTATGAGGGGATCAGGCTCAATAATGTCAACCAATACGACTACATTCTCACAGGTGACCTGTGTTCTCTCTCTGGATACATAACGTTTGACCAAACAGTATTTGATAATACTGTATTTGAATGTGGAGACGGCAGGAATTTAAAGGTTTTGATTGCTAAAATTTGTTTTATTAAAAGTGCTGTGCTTGAAAATATTTCTCAGCTGGCACAAATATTTTAATCTTTTTAATTAAATGAAACTCTGCCTTAATCTTTAGTCCTGCTGATGTTTTTCTCCTCCAGGCTACAGCAGAGACGCCTCCTTCCTAGAAACAGTGGTGGACATAATCCAGGAGCTGAAGAAAACCAATCCAAGTCTGATTTATGGTAAGTGCTTAAACTCTCAGTCTCTGTTCCCTAAAGTTGCATTTCATTGTTTCAGTGGCGCCCCCTTTTGTCGTCTAGCCCCTACACTTAACACTTTTGTTTCAAGACTTCACGAAACTCTTTTTAAAAATCTGTAATTCCTACAAAACTCCTACAAAGAATATAAAATTACATTGTCTTGCTGTGCTGTGCCCTGCAATAGCTCTGTGCTCCTGAAGGAGCACGCCTCCTACTTTTAGAACCACTATGTTCTACAAACAATAAACATTCTTTAATAATAATTATTTAAAGGTTATTGATTGGTTTGTTAGTATAAAGTTAAAAAAATCATTTGATTTCTTTGTTTTCTCCTCTTACAGTTTGTGATCCTGTTATGGGAGACCACGGTTCTATGGTAAACATTTCTGCTTTTTCATTTAACATTATTACTATTATTATTAATTATAATAATTATTATTATTTTTACACAAATATCCAACACACACCACCTAACGACTGGTTTTAATGTTCAGCGTGTGGAGGTCCATTTGTTTGTACACTAACAGAGTAATAGAGTAATAACGTTTTTCCAGTATGTTCCAGAGAATCTATTGCCGGTCTACAAGGACAAAGTCGTTCCATTGGCTGACATTCTCACCCCCAACCAGTTTGAAGCAGAGTGAGTTCACTTTTATCAACAGAGCAGAGAAGTGAAGAATAAATTGTCTGCAGTATGTGTGTGTGTGTGTGTGTGTGAGACATGTGACTAATGCTGATTAGGTAACAGGATGTTAACAATCTCTGCTGCAGGTTGTTGACTGGAAGGAGAATTAACACAGAGGAAGATGCTGTTGAGGTGAACGATGACTAATCATTACCAGTTTATTCAGATACATGTGAAGTTCATGAGAAAATTCAACACTGTGTGTGTGTCCAGGTGATGGAGCTGCTTCATAAAATGGGTCCAGGAACAGTGGTCCTCACTAGTACCGATCTTCCCTCTAAACAAGGGGACCAGTTTCTGGTGGCCTTTGGAAGTCAAAAGATCGGTAAAGACCCCGAGTGTCTTTGTAAATACATTAACAAAGAGTAGATGTTTTGTACTGAGACTTTTAGACCACTATTTTAAACAAAAAATAACTTAATATTTCTGCTGGATTCACATGTCTTTTTTGGTTTGTATTTAAATGCGTTATAAATAAACCGTACCTTCTGTCTTGTCTTCCTTCTGTATGAAAGTGAAACCAGATGGGACAAACACCAGTCAGAAAATCTGCCTGGACATCCCCAGAGTGGATGCTGTCTTTGTGGGGACAGGCGACCTGTTTGCTGCTATGCTGTTGGCATGGACTCATCAACACCCGAAGGACCTGAAGGTCAGCAGGGTCACACAGGTCTCTGACTAACCGGCTCTGATTCATGAAATTACAGCATCATCCATTTGTCCTCCCTGTGTTTGTCCACAGACGGCCTGTGAGAAGACGGCGTCAGCGATGCACCACGTCATTAAGAGGACCATGACCTACGCCAATGGTAGATCTGTTTTTTTTACTACTTTTCTGCAGAGTGGCTTTTTCTCTGGTGTGGTGTGGCTGGTGTGGATGGTTCCCTCTTGTGGCCATAGAATATATGGTGTATATTCTGATTCATAATTTACTCGAGGACACTCGATGATTTATGACCAAAAATGTGGACTAGTGGTGGCTTAGTGGTTAAGGAAGCGGACTTGGGTCCGGAAGGTTTCAGGTTTGGGCCCACCAGCTGTCAAGTTACCACTGAGGTGCACTGAGCATGGCACCGTCCGCACACACTGCTGCCCCCTGCTGATTGTGGTGATGTGTGCCACAATGACAAATAATTCACTTTCATGTGTCGCCTTAGTTCAAATGAACACATTTAACTTCTGCAAACATGATATAGTGTAAGGCTGATACAGCCACATCAAACCTTCCTCGTTCTCTTGGGTTCAGGTTCTTTCCGTCCTCACCCATAACTGTGTGTTATCACAGGTTTGAATCCTGTGGTGTGAAACTCCCAGCATTCACTGCTGCCCGGGGTTATTGATGTATATGTGTATATTTATGTCGCTGATTCTTCTTCGTCTCTTGCTGTTGTTTTAATATTCTCGCTACTTCCCATCAACTTCTGACAGTATTTCCTTTGTCTCAACCTCCGTTGGCAAAACATGTTTGCAGTTGACAGTAGGCCACTCACACTGCCTATTTTTTCACATTGGTGAAGACTCTGCACAACTGGGAATTATGGGAAAAATCTGGCCAAATATCTTTCAGAGAGGATCTCTCACACCCAGAAAAGTCGAGCATTTAATGTGATAAGTGAGCACAATCAAAAATGGATTATTCTCAAATGTTTATTTTCTCTGGTCACTGCCAGAAGTCGCTGGCCCTGGGAAAAGGCCTAGTCCTGCACAGCTGGAGCTGAGGATGGTTCAGAGCAAAGCTGACATCGAGAATCCTGCCATCGTCGTTGGAGCCAAGGTTTTACATGAGCCTTCGCACTAAAGGCAGCAGTGTTTTTATAAACACAGTGGTAATGTGGGTGTTCAGTCAGACGAGTTTCTCTTCAAAGACTGTGTCACATGTTTAAGCCTTATTCTCTGAGGGAGTGCGAGTATGTCACCTCTCATGTTATTGACTTGAAGTTTGATCACAGATCACTAGAATCACTAAAATACATTGGTAATTCCAGTTGCAGCAGAGTTCTCACATCAATGTGTATTGTATTTTAACTTGCATCTTACAATCAGAATTTTATTTCTATATAAATGCAGTTTATTTTACTGTTTTAAAAGATAATCAAATTGTCATTTTAGTGTCAATCTCACCAACAATTGTTGCCAAATTAATTGACTTCCTTTTTAATCATGCACTGATTTGTAGAAGTCGCTAGTTGTGTGACACGTTAGGTCTTAAACATCTCAAATTAAGGTAAGATGTTAATATGTTTACTAACGATTGTTGATTGTCATATCTTTGTTGTTCAAACACACTGTATAATATCCTTAACAGGATTATGGTGAAATAACTTTTTGTGTTCTAATGTAATCCCAGATTCTCACGTTAGAAATGTGAGTGCCAGTCCTGGAATAGCTGCTCTAATATAGATGAATATATGACCAGAAATAAATGATCGATCTTTTACTGAAACTGTGTCTCCTGTTGATGCTCTAGTCATTTTGTGAGACTAAAGAGGGTGTGCTCCCATGAAGCTGAAGTTTAAAGGCTTCTTATTGTTATTTCCTGAGGCTGACATCTTGATCTTTTGAAAATATGTTGAGATGGTATACATTTCCTTTTGTGGGCAAACCTTCCAGGGAGGTAGGGTTATGGCAAGGAACAAAATGGAGGGGGGTGGGGGGGTGGGAGGGAGGAGTGACATCTAAACTAACTAATCATTAAGTAACTATTTTCAACAAATGAGGAAGAACTAAGCAATTATAAAAATATATTGTTTGTAAAAATGATAAAAAGCCTTTCATAAACAAACAAAACCATTCTGCAGGACATTATTACAGTAGTTGGAGTTAGATTTCCTGCTTGATGTGTCCCCTAATATGTGATAAAGGACAGGAAGCTCAGCTCTTGTTTTGTCAACACTAATCCAAATTATGAACAGCTGGCGTTAACCTCGATATGCAAATAAAGCCACTGTGGTCTGCCCCCCAGCACCACAAATATTCAAATAATACCCAAACATTGCAGCAGTAGAGAGAAGCATGTAAGTAAAAGGCTCCACTGTGAAATAGAAGGAATAGATTTGTTACAGTGACTTGTCCGTGGCTTATCCTTGTACCACATGTTACTAACAAACATTCCAGATTGGTTTCACAAAAAGACCCAGGGATTTGTGCATACAACACCATACTGTTCTCAAAGCTGGCGTCCAAACCAGCTTTAGCTGCAGATACGCATTTACGCCAGCAGAGGGCTAAATACGTCCAAAGTTCAATCCAACAGTATCGTTCAATGTGTACAAGAGAAAAACAGCAGCAATTTAAACGTGTATTTCCTGTTGAAAACATAAAATAAAGTTGTGTGGGATTAACGGTGCTGTCTTGGATTTGTGTTGTGTTTAAAGAGATGAAATTAAAAAAAAAAAAATGATTGTGGCTCTTAATCCCATTCGATTTTTTATTTATTTATTGCATATTAAAGACTAAAATTTAAATGCTTCGTCCACCTGACAGGATGTAGACCAACAAGGCACGTACATTATACTGACAGTGACAATGAGGTTGTGACAGGTGGATAATCCATCAAAACTATTGTGGACAACACAACTGTGTTGTAAACGAGATAGACATTTAGTCTCTTCCGGTATTAAAGAAATACTTTTTTACAACGTTCCTTCACTGATCCATAACAAGACCACATGGGGAGATCAACAACAACATGCTATAGTAGAAAATGTGATTTTTCTTTTTTTTTTTACCATTCTTTTCGGTCATGAGGTAAAACATTAGATGCCCTAGTTCTTATTAAAACAGAAATAAATTTAGTGTAAAATAAAAATTAAAACCCTAGTGATTCAACAAGGTGTCATCCACAGAGGGCTCATTCTGTGGTAATATAATACTGATAATTACTATTAGGTGATTTTATTATTTTATTTTCACTTTCTGCCAGAATAGTTACAAAGTCAAGTCTAACTTTGACTATCACAAAGCCAGATGACCTAACTTTAATCACATAAAGAGGCTTTGAAGTGGGGCTTTAAAGTCAGAATAAAGAAATAATTAAATTAATAATAAGTGTTATCGTGTGAGGAGTCCAGTGCCGGTGACCGGATGTAAGGCTTGCTACCTTCAGATGGGCTTTAAGGAAATGTTGGGCTTTAACCGACAAACAATAGCGGTCCTGCAAATCGCATTACCTCAAGTCATTTTTATTGCGTGTCTGGAAACGGACAAAGTGAGGAGGGTTCAATAACAGCGTCACTCCTAGTCCCGGAACCCAGAAAAACGCATAGTAAAACGGAAAGAGAATCTACATTCTCCTAGGCTAATAATATTCAGGTAAGAGTGCACAGCACCGTTACTGCCGACTGACCGCTATCCTTAGCTGCCTAGCACTTAGCACGTTAGCAAGAAAAACATTTGGCTTTGGCCAAATTGTTCTGTGGGTCATAAAATTAGGTGGAAACCCGAATTTGTGGTGCCATATGTTTTGCGTTTGTCATACGTTTGAGGCACAACTTAAACACAAATTAAAGATAGTGTTTTGGGTAAGTTAGCCCGCTAGCGTGTTCTGTTAGCAGGTGGCTCTGTCCTTCCACAGCACGAGTTACGGTAACGTTAGTGAGGAGGGAGCATATGATAATAAAACTGCAATATTCCTTTGCAGAAATAGAACTAAGTGGTTCTATTACTTATACTTAAAATAATGCATTAGTGCTGTTTTATTTCACGACTTGGAATACAGTAGGTTTATAGCTCACGAAACATAATTTAAAAAAAAAAAAAGAAAAATCCAGGCAGTGAAGGAGGGGTGGCTGCTCTTGCTGCACCGGCACATGCTATGCTCTGATATTATGAAGTCAGTGGTTATACGTTTTTTTGTGAATTGATGTCAAAAAATGAATAAAATAACAACAAAACTAAGTAGACGCTGCTGTACGTCATGTGCGCCAGTTGGCAGTCACCAGCGTCGTACGACTTACAGTCGCGAGGTTACTGGAGTTCATTCTGTTCTAAAACCAAAGCTAACTTTAGGCTCAATGCATGGTTTTGACCTTCGATTTGAAAGTTCTGCGAGAAAGGTAAGCGAGTGCCGCCAATGCCATTATCACATTGTACAAGTTTATTAGGTGTCGGACCCACTAGCTGCCATTCCAGTCATCAATTACATAAGCAGTCTTTAATAGATTCATAGTGATTTCAGTTGTCAAAGTCGTGATCTTCGTTCAAATTCGAGCTTTGTCTTGTAGACAGTAGAGAGCACTGATAGGACTAGTTATGGAAGCCTACTTATGGAAACCACGTTAAACTAAAAGCAATGGATTGTAACAAGCAACTGGGTTGTGTACAACTAATGTAATGAAATGCTATACATTCTATAGAGAATTATGATTTAATATTATTATACGAAATCTTGTGTTTCATTCTGATTAGTTGGCTAGCCATTTGAATGACAGAAAAAGAATGTCAACATTTAGCAGCTTCTCCCTTAAGTTGTTTGGCTGTTAGCATCCTTTAATAAAAAGTAAAAACATGAAGGACAACAGTTTGAGGACCGCAGTGCCCTTTTCTACGGCATGTTATGTTATGTTTGGTTAAATGGAAAAAACTAGGATAGATTGAGGAAAACCAACTGAGGTGCAGTTCAATTCAGAAATAAGTTAGTAGTGTTGGTTTATGTCAAGCTGATCCCCAGGATGTTTTTACATGCATGATCTTTTTTTCTGAGGTTAGTTAAGATAGCTTTTTAATACTGCAATAGAATATGGAAGTCATGGAAGTGATTACTTCCATGACTAATCACGTATTTTCTTATTACTGGCATATGACTTACCATTGTTTATTTACTTAAATGGTTATTACTTCATTTCTTGCATAATACTTATTACTTGCCCATTAACTGCTCACTTAATCTCCCACGTACACAAATATCTTCCTGTTCATTTATGGAATACAAATTTACTACTGTACTACTATTTACTACTTACTGTAATTGCTTACTTAATTACTTAGTAACCTACTTACTTTTTTAATACCAAAATTGGGATTTCTACATTACCCACAAGGTTTTCATTCTCTAATTTTTCCCAATTTTGGCCATATCTTTTATCAAATGTCTATCTGAGTCATGCACTATACATGATGTGCTGTTGGTGTAAAGTCCAGTGGTCACTTTGGTAACTTCAACACCTTTATCAGTTACTTAAGAGAAGAACTGGCCTCAAGGACTTTGAGCTAAATATACTTTCATGTGTTGATAACAATTTGTCTGATCACCTTTGTCGCTGTTCACTGACTGACCTCGGTTGAAGGAATGTCAGGAAGTCTTAGTTCAAGGCTGTTTGATTATTTTGTGGCTAGTTTGCTAATTGATTTAACCTATTCTGAAAGTTCACTTTGAACCAGTATGGTCAATATATGTGCTGTGCTGTTATCTCCGCTGACATGAACATTTTTATTAGCCTTTGTATGCTCTTCTTGTCAAAGCTCTTTCTCAAAAGTCATAAGACTAATACTGCTGCAGACTAAAACCTATTAGTTGTAGCAGCACGCACTATGAGGAGTCACTTTCAGCCTCCGTGAGGCGTTTCTACGCTGTCTGTCTGCCTTGTTTTTGTGAAGCACGTTCTACCTTACGCAACTCTGCCCATGTTTCAACAGGATTGTGAGATGGTGGTGAGGGTGTGGTGTAGATATCTTTCATAGCCGGTGTAGTTACGCTTCTGGTATATCTGTATAAACACACACAATCTTTGATTTAGCTGTTTAGTGTGTTATTACACCTTTGCTCACGTTCTTTCTTCAAACAGAAGGTGTTCTGACCACTTCACCTTTCAGCCAGTTTTCAGCAGGTTCATTGTTTTAGCTATTGACGATTTCAAAGATGTTGGATTCAAAGTATTTAACAGTCCATGTAGCAGTGGTGGCTTAGTGGTTAAGGAAACAGGATCTGTTCCGGAAGGTTTCAGGTTCGAGTCCACTGCCAAGTTACCATTTAGGGTACTCTGAGCATGGCACTGTGTCCACTTACTGCTCCCTGGGGACTTAAAGCTGCCCCCATGCTGACTGTGGTGATGGGTTAAAAGCAGAGGTCACATTTGGTTTTGTGTGCAGTGGTGCAGTGCTGTGTCACAATGACACAGTTATTCACTTTCTTTTACGTTTTTATATATTCAGTTATTATGAAAGTGCTTTTGTGCTGGGTTGAGCAGCTGTTTGGAAACAACAATGACCTTCAGGGTCCAGCTATTACAGTGTATTGTTATATTGGGCTTAATGTGCACTGACTGGTCAGTCAAAGCAGGACAAATCAACTCAGTGTCTCTCTGCTGGTTTCTGTAACTCGTTTTCTTTATCTTTGTGACATTAATTGTACATACGATTAATCCTGATTTAATTTAAATAAATTTGAAGCCCTACAGAGTTTTAACAACTATTATTCTACAATGTCGATGGACACATGTCAGTTTAGATGTAGAATAAAGGTAGTGCTGGTGAGGACAGAAGAGAAACACCTGATTTAAGGAATTGGTTTTAATCCATTCATAATTAGATTTGACCTAAGGGGAATTTGGCACAGGTTTGGCATAAGTTTAAAGTAGCTGCCCAGAGTAAAATGTTAACCTAGCCTTAGATGTAAGCATGTGGATCTCAGTGCTACACACACATGTTTATGGGTTTTTTAGTTTAGGAGATCATCGTACACCTAACAAATGCCATTCTGCCAGCCCAGCTAATGGATGACAGAGCCTTCTTTTGTGTTGATGTTGATGAAATGTGACACATCCAGGGTGCCCATGGCCTGCTAATCAGTGCTAATCTAATCCAGTGGATTAGAGGGTGGGAATACATGTAAGACAGCATTTGTGTTAGACTGGTGATGTGTCTCCTTTAGTTCTCTTTCAGTCTTTGTTCCATGCACTTTTTATCAGGTAGTAATTCAGTTGATTTAAGTTTCCTTTTGTGCCATTCACCATCAATGGAAGTCTGCAATTGTTGCTAATTTTGCAGAAGATTTCAACTTTCTAGTCACCGCTAATTGCCAAGTCCTTTCAACCACCTTTTGGACCTGGAACCATCATCGTCTCTTCATGTTTTGGGAAACATGGCTGTGAAGCAGGACCACTTGTGACTCTTTGGTTCCACGTGCCTTATATTGTTTTGTTTTTTATTTTTATTTTGGCTTTGAATTGGTAAAACCAACCGCCAAAATGCTGAACCAGAATTCCGTGATGATTTTCACTGGGATTTGTGGAGCTTTGGTGCTCATGGCGATAGCATACTACGTCTACTGGTAAGATAAACAAGATGGTTTTGCTCATGAGAACTAATGTCTATGTGTGGTCGTAGTAAAATAATAGCAGCAGACGGACATCAGTAGCTTCAGAGTAGAGCTTTGCATATCAAATAAAGGCTTGGAGTATTACAAACAACAAAGGCGTGGTACCCACAAGCGTGTATTATGATGAACAGTTCTTTCCTGCATGAAAGCGACGGGTTGACCCAGGTTGGCACACATTTCTCAGGTAACACAAGGCAGAAGCAGCTGTCTGGCCTTAAGCTGCTTTGACCAAGTCAACGTCTCTAATCTTGTCTTCAGGCTGCTGCACCCGAAGGTCTAGTAAATTAGAACAGGTTCATTTTGTTATTCGGGAGGATTTCATATAAAAGTAGTCCATTTTGTTTCTTAACTTTTTGCAACTTTTAGCTCAACAAAAATGTGATGGCAACCATACTTGCTGAAATGGGTCACTGCCCTGATTAATTCTTTTGGGTTGATCTGTTTACAAGCACTAGGGCTTCTTATTTATGTATTTAAAAAACAAAACCTCACAATATAAAGATGTTTATTTTTGAAAATGTGTCATTCACTGTTCCGTTGAAGGCAAGCTGTCTTAAATTAATTTGATACTAATGACATATTTTACTACTTGATGTATTGTATTTTTAGTATTTCTGTTATTGAACATTCAGACAAAATGAAATCTATTGCAGCTGCTGTTTTATTTTACAAAGTGAAATTGTTGAATGGCATGGAATTGAAAAGGCTGATACTTCATCTTGACTAAGAATGTAAATGACTCTATTAAGTCTGTGTAGGTTCTCAGTCATCCAGGTCATTTCATCCAAAAAATAGTTACATCAAAAGCAACTGGACGAAGTATTTTTTTAAAAACGTTTCGCCTCTCATGTGAGAGTTTGGTCTCTTGAATCTCTGGCTCTTTATAGTTTTACTTGTAAATTCAACACGTGTGGTGCTATCTGCTAAATTAACAGATAACGTGTGCAGATAACTTAGTCTGTGAAATATTAATAAAGAAACCAGTTACCAACGTGACAACATCAGAGGTGTTTGTGTTCCAGAGGTGAGATGTGTTGGCAAGTGTTTGTTTAGCTCTTTATTTTTGCTGAGATGCATAAAAATGAGCAGCAGCACTGATCACACTTACATACCTGTTACTGAAAGGAGGTGACAAGTTGAATCATATCAAAAAGTATTTTAAGTTGTTTTTTTTAAATTATTATTATTAAAAAAAGGTTCCTGGTATGTGAACGGCATTGCTTCTCAACAGGCCTGTGTTCAAGCAGGCAGTTCTCCTTTTGTTGCAATGTGCTACCTTGCCACTAGATGTCACCAATTTCTGTTGGTTGTTTTGCTTGTTACAAAAATCACACTTAACCCTAACCTTCTTCATCCTTTGAAAACAAAAATGCTATTACCATACATAAGGCAAAAAAAATTAAATAAATAAAAAATTAAACATTGAATATATGTTTGTTTGTTTTATATTGATTTTTAATTTTGAAAATCTTTTTTGTCTTATTTCTTCCAGGACTGTACTATTGGCCGAAGGACCTTGTAAACGCGGCTTATAAAAGCATCCAGCTGTGGTAAGAGACAATTCTGTTATCGCCTTACACTGTGCCTCCACCCTGTTGACACCTGCCATCAAATGTACACTTGTTGCTCGACCTTCCCCAGGTTGGTCCTGGTGCGCAGAGAGCAGCCTACTCAGCACTCTGGGCTCGTCAGCCATGGCTCTGCTGGCCTACCTGAAGAGCCTGTTCATCCTGCAGCTGCTGATGGGCTTTGTGTTTGTGGTTAGCGGCCTCATCATAAACTTCATCCAGCTTTGCACCTGCATCCTCTGGCCCATAAACAAACAGCTGTACCGCAGAATCAACTGCCGGCTCTCCTACTCCCTCTGGAGTCGTGAGTGATTCAGTCCCTTCATTGTGTATTTAGTGATCTTAATATTTTATTAAACACAAATAAAAACTTACAATTTGTTATATTTATATCCAGACTCCAGCCTAATCATACTCATTTGGCCACTTGACTAAATTACAATTGCACTCTGTCTCTAAGTGTCATAAATATATAGGTGACAGTGGCCTGGTGGTCCACAGTGTCATGAAGACACACGGGACTTAACTATGTCTACCATTTGTTACAGATGTGAAACGGTTTTTATCATAAATGACTCAGAAGGAGCTAAAAGTCACCGAGGTCTGAGTTAGATGTTAAATCTGCAGCAGAACAATGACCAACAACAGCTGAAACTACTACACAGTAGTACTCAAATACACAGTAGTACACAACTACACAGTGTGCAGCTGGGAGTCAAACCTCACTATTATTATCATGTAAGGATCTGTCAGTTTGTCTAATGTTGCTCATCTACAGTGGATGATAGTATCTTTCTCCCATTGACTTAATATAAACATAGTATTTTGTTCCGTGTCTGCAGAGCTGGTGATGCTGCTGGAGTGGTGGTCGGGCACAGAATGTACTCTGTACACAGACCAAGCCACGGTGGATAAATTTGGCAAAGAGCATGTTATCGTCATCCTCAACCACAACTATGAGATCGATTTCCTCTGTGGGTGGACCATGTGTGAAAGATTCGGTATCCTGGGGGTTAGTGAAGATTTTCAGCCAATAAGACTTGTCCTGTCCTCGTTAGATAAGGAACTGTCAACATCACATGTTGCTCTTATTGATGTGAGACCATAATGTGGTGAATCCTTTCTTTTTTATCTCTTTCACCCGCCTTCCCTTTAGAGTTCAAAGGTGCTAGCCAAACACGAGCTGCTGAAGGTTCCACTGATCGGCTGGACCTGGTACTTCCTAGAAATTGTCTTCTGCAAAAGGAGGTGGGAGGAGGACAAAAAAACGGTCTTTAGTGGACTGAACAGACTGAAGGACTATCCAGAATTTATGTGGGTAGGTACAAAGTCATCCTTAAAGCTCGATCACCTCCAATCAGCCGTTTACACTCAGCAGTTTGTACAGCTTTTTGTACCAACACTTTTATTCCCTCAATTTGTTTCTTTTGCATTTCTTATATTTATTTATTTTTATTTATTTGTATGTATGGATTTATTTGCTTGTATATGGAGATAAAAGTAAGTGGAATCAAATAATAAAATCAACCTTACTGCAATAAGATGTCGATTAACTTAACTTAACCTTAACTTAACCGTGGTTCTGTATTTGGTATTAACTCTTTTTCACCTTCACAGTTTCTTCTGTATTGTGAAGGCACACGTTTCACTGAGAAGAAACACCAGATCAGCATGCAGGTGGCAGAGAGTAAAGGTCTGCCCAGGCTCAAGTACCACCTGCTCCCCCGAACCAAAGGTTTTACCACCACCCTGCAGTGTCTCAGAGGCACAGGTAGTGTATAGAAAAACACACACAGTTTGTTACATTTGACATCATTATGTTTTAATGGGATTTCTAATTCTTTTTTTTTTTTAAAGTTTCTGCTGTGTACGACGTGACGTTGAACTTTAAAGATAACCAAACTCCCACTCTCCTCGGAATCGTTCACGGCAAGAAATACAAAGCTGACATGAGTGTGAGGTGAGTGAGTCAAGAGTGTCTTATTTACTGCCTATGACCAGATGTTACTGAAGCTCTCTCCTCTGGTGATGTCTTAGACTCTGTGGTCTCTGGTATTTAACGTTCTGTAACAACGGGCAGGACTGAAGGCTGCCATAAGCCTTGGTTATGGTTCCAAGACGCAAGACACAAGATACAGGATTTTCATAGTCCAGGATTCAAATCTGAACAAGGGAATTGAAATGTTTGACCTGAATTTGAGCTGATTATGCAAAAAAAAAAAAAAAGAATAGCTGTAAATACATATAATATATGAATATGTTTCTGCTCCCAGAATCCTCTGGTGTCATCATTGCCCTGGTCATGTTTTGTTTTATAAAAGTGTAAATACTGCAGAGTACGTATCATCATTATTGTTCACTCTGTAGTTAAAACTGTTCTCTTACAGACGGTTCCCTGTGGAGGACATACCTGACGATGAAGGGGAGTGTGCCAACTGGCTGCACAAGCTCTACCAGGAGAAGGTTGGACTCCATTAGGATAGGTTTAAGAAGAACTGTTTAGAACTGTTTATCGTGGTATTGATTGTCATTCAAGTTTGTTAAATTTAATTTAAGAAATTTAATTTCCTCTTCTTTACCACCTCCTCCTTTCCTCCTCCTGAACAGAGCATTTGTTTTTTTCAGTGCTGTTGTAAATTAAGTCACTCATTTTTCATGTCCTACAAAAAGCAATAACATATGTTGTTGAAAAAAGTTTTACATTTCTCTTTTAGGATGCATTACAAGAATTCTACAACAAGGAGCGAAGGTTCCCTGGACCCACTATTGTCCCAGCGCGGCGGCCGTGGACGCTCCTTAACTTTTTGTTTTGGGCCACTCTGCTTCTTTCTCCTCTCATTAAATTTGCCTGTGGAGTGGCGGTCAGCGGTTCGCCCCTCCTCATCATCGGCTTCATCATCTTTCTCATCATAGGTCAGCGACATCACAGAGTATTTCACCTACAGATACAGTGTCTCTGTCTACCAATTAGAGACACACACACATCACAACTCAGTGTGTGCTTTCTTTTTAATTTTAATTTATTCATTTATGATTCATTTTTTTCTTCCCAGCTTCCATAGCCATTCGACGGCTCATCGGAGTCACTGAGGTGAAGAAAACGGGCTCCAGTTACGGCGACCAGGAGGCCAAGAAAGGGCCCCGTCCCTCCCCCCCCCCCCCCCAAACCTCACTCCCCTTCTCCCTCCTTGTACGGCTTTGTCTTTACGGCCGTTCTGCAGCGTCTCACCCCTACTTATCTTTACTCTCCCCTGTGGAGGTAGATGAGCTGGGGAGGAGGTGCAGCTGCAAAAACACAATAGAGACCAGAGTTAGAGAGAATGAATGGCACTACAGGATGAGGCAGAGAAACCGGGGGAGCACGGAGAGGACGGGGTGGGGTGGGCGCGGGGGGGACTGGTTCAGGCTTCAGTTAGACACAGAGTGAGAGATGCAGCATAGTATTTTTCTGCACCCCCCAGCCCGACATGTGCTCCTTCGTTTTGCCCTCACAACACTCACACACACACATACCTTCATATTATCACACTTCATCTGCAACAGTTACAGCAGCTGGCTTTTCTAAGCATTATTTGAAAAGAAATCATCCAAGCACTTAACTTTTTTTCTTTCCTGTTAAGAGGCAGCATTTTAATTAAAGATATCTCATTATCACATCTGTGCTAGGATCAGGCAAACAAATGTACAAACTCCACATCATTGTCAGTAGCTGAAGGTGAAGAGACTGAAGCGTCTCGTCCTCACTTGTTTTGGTTGTGATAAACTGACACACACTAACATGTTTGTTCAGAGATGCTGGTGTTTAAAACACTCTGATTATGTTCATATTCTGTTCTTCCCCACATCAGATCCTGTTTTAAGTTTTTAAAGTAAAAATACATCCATGTGTTTTCTAATATACCTTGGCCAGTTTAACATGTTGTGTATGTATTTTCTAGTCCCATCTGCCCCCCCCCCAACATGACCAACCCCAACCCTCAAAACACCAGTGAAAATGCAGCTGCCACGCCTGGAGTTCCTCTGACTGTTGAATGGCAGTGGAGGAAAGGTCACCAACAGTCCTCACAGCTGCCTCCTGTTATTTTCTCTCCTGTTTTATACTCTAGTCGTGATGTTTCAACCTTTGCCTTAAATCAAGCCTGACGTGCAGAGGATTGCTTCATTTTTCAGCCCTTTAACACCATCCCTCCCACATCCACCCATCTCAACAGCAGTTCATTTGGTTCGTTTACTGAAATGACTGAATTGTTATTGAAAACCACTTTCAAGTACAAATCTAGGAAGTTTGCACTGAGGATCACAGATTTCACCACAATAAAGGAACTGAACTTCTGAGACTTGTATTTTTGATCCCAAAAATAGAAAAAAGTCTGGTGAGACAGAGGGGGAAGTTATTGTCCCGCACTCGTCTCCCCGTGCCAGTGTAGTTAACATGATTTTACTTTTGTTCCTCTTTTTCCGTCTTCTTGGTCACCAGTCCTCAGCAGCAGTATGTTGTGTACTTTCTGTAGATTTTTTAAAACTCAGACAGATTTGATGCAAAGCCTTAATAGACAGTTGCTGCTTAATGTAAAAATATGGAAGCTAAGTGATGCTAACCAGTTTAGCTGGGGCTAGTTGTCAAGTCACTTTTTTTTTCTTTTTTTTGAGGCGGCTGGGGCGTTTGGATAAGGAAACTAAGAATAAACAAATCTCATGATTGTAATTAATTTCCTTAAAAAAATAACCTGTAGATGTATTACCTCAATACTTGGTGAAAGCTTTAGAATCTTAGCCCTTTTTTTTACTTTTAGAAGATGATTTTACTATTATAAAGCCAAGTTCGGTTGGTTTTTTTTTTATCTCAAGGTGCATCAGTGCCACCTCCTGAGTGTTTTTTTTTTCCATTGCTTTATTTGTTTTATTTCATTTTCCCAGATGACAACAATTGAAAATATTAAAGGATTTCACCACATAACCAAAGTTACTGATTTGACTTGATTTTGTCTGTTTCTTTGTTTCCCCTCAAACTTAGATGAAAATGCAGTGGTACAGTGTTGTAGTCACTGACGCGCTGCATTGTTATTTTTCTTCATCAGCGGCCATGTTTCAGGCATCATGCATCCCTTCACCATGACACAGCCATATTGTCCATTTTGAAACTAGCTCAAGTGTGTAACTTAGGATCTTTAAATACCAATATGTAAATAAAGTCATGGTAGAAATTGTAGAGATAAATAAATCTAGCTGTTGGTTCTCACTCAACGTTTTGAATGGCAGAAAAATAAAACGTTTTTAAACAGATGAACCGGAGAAGATTTCTGAGGAAAACCGTGATAGTCTGATAGACTTGTACATTATGTAAATGATTGAGTTTCGAAAAGGCAGTGATGTTTTTCTGTCACATGACAGGTCAGTGTGTTCAGGCTGCAACCAAATGGAACAGTTGAATAAAAGCTACAACAGTGTGAAACTCCCGAGGTGCAGTTTGGAAAAATGATCAGATATTTTATTTTCAACTGTCTGACCTTTAAAATTTGGAGACGTAAACACTCTCAGCCTCCTGTCTAAAAAAAACACAGAAAAAGCTACTTTCACCAGTGATGCTTACAAGGCATTTTTCTGCGACTGTACATAATGGTGCATTCTTACTGTATTCATTTCTTTATTTTGCATGATGTGCATCAATGCACTGCCACTGAATCCAGTTAATTCTGACTCAGGGACTCTTTTAAAGACTGGTGACGAAACAGCTGTGGCATTAAGAAGAATTTCAATCTGAATAAAAAGGCTTTCTGGGGAAGCTGTATGAGTGGCTCTTGTTTTTGTAAAGGACCTTTGTCAGGACCTTTAGTTTCTGGACAATTATTTAAAATGACTGACAAACACCAACCTGATTTTAACTATTGGTTAATGTGTTAACCCGTATGACAGATACTAGTACTGTAGTAGTATTCGTCATACTGGTGTTATTTAGGTTCCCTCTAGTGGTACACGGATGAATCAGACTTTTACTACTTAGATAAAACGAAGGGTTTTAAAAATCCACCGTTGATCGTTCGGGATTCTACAATCTTAAAAAGAAATAGACAGAAACCTTTGACTTTTCTATGTCTATGACTTTTTCATAGACTAATATATACGATATATACGAATGTTATGAAGGTGAAAGTTTAAAAACAACTGTCTATATTTCCAGTTAATAAACATTGTAAAGCCCCTAACATGAACATCAAGACCAGAAAGCACCTTTAGCAGAGAAGACCATAAATATTACAATTTAATTGTAGAATATATTGTAAATTACGGTTTAAACGGCCAGATAATTTCGAACAAATTAATAAAATAATTATTTAAAAAACGTTTTTTAAATAATTATTTTATTTACAATTACAATAATTATTTTATTTACAATTATTTTATTTACAATTACAGTTCTGTGAAAATAATGGTGGAAATGCATATATCCCAGCCAGGATTTAAGCCAGTTAATGCAACATGATGATATCACGCGTTATCGCGAGAAAAGATTTTTACTGACTGGTGTCGGTCATGGAGACTGCTAAAAAAAAAGAAAAGAAAAGAAGGTGGACGCTGAATGGCGCCTTTTTCAAAATAGATGGACAAGGTAAGATTCTCTGGAGGAAAAGTTATTACCCGTCTATGTTTGGAACTAAACGTTATATCCAAGATACGAACAATGTTATGAGAACAAGTTTGAGTTGTTGAGTGAATTTACAGCAAAGAAGCTAAAGCCTCGAAGAGGGAGAGTTTGTGAAAGAAGGAGCTGCTATGGCTCCGGAAAACTATAATGATTCAATTCGTCACTTTGTCTAGACTACTATAAATGGTATCGAGTACATGCCACGTTTTCAGGTGGTATTATTTGGTTAATATATATCACGTTTTCCATGACATTTCTCGCACTTAATAATACATTATTTTAGCACATGACAAAAGTGCTGTTGTGTTTCAGTTCATATTCTCATCCATCCTTTTTAGTCACACAACAACGTCCAAGCTTTTTACATTGCCCATTTAAAGTAAAGTATCACTCAATTAGCACAATATATGATTAGTTAGTTATTTATTGAAATGATCCATTAGTTTAGCATGTTAATTTGTTGTAGTGCCAACCTTTTCCTAAAAGGTTTATATAGAATTCAAATGATGTAACTAAATGCTTTTCCTTCTATATCAACCTCTTTATTCTAGTTATTTGTTTTACAAATTACATTACTCATGTGCATAGTTTTTAATGATCAATGAGCCTTCAGTGTGGTCTGCTGATAGACAGACAGCATTAGTACAATAAACAAAAACTGTCTTCAGTTTAGATACAGTAAAGGTGAAAAGTGAGAATTCAGTCAGAGGTCATTTTCTGCCACTGCAGACAATATACATAATTCTGTTTCTTATTTTGGTGAGTTTAAATCCATATATGAGGGGGTTCATGAGTGGAGGGATTATGAGGAATTCTATGGCTATGAAGTTCTGTAGGCCTTGTGGTAACTTTGTGGATGCAAATCTCATGTACAACAAGTCAAAAACGATTATAATGAGGAAAGTGGTCAGAGAAATTAAATGAGGCACACAAGTCTGCATGAACCTGACCCTGTCATCGATGGATTTCACACTAGTTTTGACAAGATGCATATAAGTCCACATGATGAAAACCCCATGAAGCACATAAATCACAATGGTTGCGTAGGAAACAATATTATTTGAAACAATGTCAGACTCATTGCAGGCCAGTTTGAAAATCACCCAGTTCACACAGAAGAGCTTCTGAATTTTTGAACCACATAAGCTCAGTCTAGATGTTAGTATAACACTGATGGAGAAAATACAGAAGGGTGTTAACCAGGAGAAACACACCAGCTGAGTGACTCTCCTCTTTGACATAATTGAGCGATAATGCAGTGGTCGACAAATAGCCACGTACCTGTCGTAGGCCATAACTGCAAGAATAGACAGGTCACTGCAAGCAAACGAGTACATAATGAAAGCCTGAAACAGACATCCTTCATATGATATCTGTGGAATGGAGGTCAGCAGGTCTAAGAGAAATTTGGGATAAAAACCTGTGGTTCCATAAATACCATTAATACAGAAGTTGCACAATAAGACATACATAGGTTCATGCAGGTTTTCATCCACAATAATGATAGTGATGAGACAGATATTGAAGAACAAAATCACACAATAGTACAGTAATGTTAGTGCAAAAATGGTCATTCTGTAGTTCACTGTCTCATTTATTCCTGCTAGAGTGAAGACTCTGACAACAGAAACATTCTCCATTGAAGTAAAATTACTTTTCACAGCTAAAATTGAAAAAAAGTGTGAAACGTTTTGAGTGGAGGAGGCACACTGTGTTGTCTCCTCTGACTGTCTTCTTCCAAAATGTCTTCTTTAAACAGCTTTGACGATGACGTCAACACAACTGTTGGGAATTAATGCTATAGAAAGACACTGGGGAAAAACTCATGAAAATGTTTGGTAGTTTAGACAGTTGCATTTACATGTTGATCTTTTGAAAAATGAAATACATTTATTTATAAATAAACTATTTATGATTTATAATCGTGAAAAAAATATTATATACTCTGTCAAATCACATTTAGCAGAGACCAATGTCAAGAATGTTTTTAAGTGCAAAAAGACGTAGTATGTAAATATGTAATTACTAATATTGGTATCGGAATTAATACCTCATTTTAATCGTGCCAATCCAGCGACGCTGGTACTGCAAAGAAGCTTTTCATGAAAACCAGTTACAGACCAATCAGTTATGTTATGTATTTTCATACCACATTTAAGTGGAAGACAGTTGCAAGATGCACATAGACGGTTACAAGACATAGTGTAAGGTTCTGTTCAGTTACAATACGAGTAACAGAATAGAAAACCAGAACAGACTAAAGTCTCTTCTAAGTTTAACGGCTCAGGGAATAGATGAGTTTACACCTCACCTGGTCATTAATAATTTTGACTTATTGAACCTACATTTTGTGTGTTCATTCAGTCCAGTATTTCCGAAAAACAAACAAAGCAACAAGTTTTCCATGGCATTTTTTATACTTGTTTAATAATACATGGTTTCAGCACATAAGAAAAAAGTGCTGCTGTGTTTCAGTTCATGTTCTCATCCATCCTTCTTAGTCACACTACAACTTCCAAGCTTTTTACATTGCCCTTTTAAAGTAAAGTATCGCTCAATTAGCACAATATATGATTAAACACACATGATTAGTTATTTATTGAAATGATCCATTAGTTTAGCATGTTAATTTGTTGTAGTGCCAGCATTAGTACAATAAACAAAAACTGTCTTCAGTTTAGATACAGTAAAGGTGAAAAGTGAGAATTCAGTCAGAGGTCATTTTCTGCCACTGCAGACAATATACATAATTCTGTTTCTTATTTTGGTGAGTTTAAATCCATATATGAGGGGGTTCATGAGTGGAGGGATTATGAGGAATTCTATGGCTATGAAGTTCTGTAGGCCTTGTGGTAACTTTGTGGATGCAAATCTCATGTACAACAAGTCAAAAACGATTATAATGAGGAAAGTGGTCAGAGAAATTAAATGAGGCACACAAGTCTGCATGAACCTGACCCTGTCATCGATGGATTTCACACTAGTTTTGACAAGATGCATATAAGTCCACATGATGAAAACCCCATGAAGCACATAAATCACAATGGTTGCGTAGGAAACAATATTATTTGAAACAATGTCAGACTCATTGCAGGCCAGTTTGAAAATCACCCAGTTCACACAGAAGAGCTTCTGAATTTTTGAACCACATAAGCTCAGTCTAGATGTTAGTATAACACTGATGGAGAAAATACAGAAGGGTGTTAACCAGGAGAAACACACCAGCTGAGTGACTCTCCTCTTTGACATAATTGAGCGATAATGCAGTGGTCGACAAATAGCCACGTACCTGTCGTAGGCCATAACTGCAAGAATAGACAGGTCACTGCAAGCAAACGAGTACATAATGAAAGCCTGAAACAGACATCCTTCATATGATATCTGTGGAATGGAGGTCAGCAGGTCTAAGAGAAATTTGGGATAAAAACCTGTGGTTCCATAAATACCATTAATACAGAAGTTGCACAATAAGACATACATAGGTTCATGCAGGTTTTCATCCACAATAATGATAGTGATGAGACAGATATTGAAGAACAAAATCACACAATAGTACAGTAATGTTAGTGCAAAAATGGTCATTCTGTAGTTCACTGTCTCATTTATTCCTGCTAGAGTGAAGACTCTGACAACAGAAACATTCTCCATTGAAGTAAAATTACTTTTCACATCTAAAATTGAAAAAAAGTGTGAAACGTTTTGAGTGGAGGAGGCACACTGTGTTGTCTCCTCTGACTGTCTTCTTCCAAAATGTCTTCTTTAAACAGCTTTGACGATGACGTCAACACAACTGTTGGGAGTCATTAAATTGTACATGGGATCAGTGAAAATAATGCTTTTGCACTAATCTGGCTACTCTCTATTTTCAACACGGTGTAACAAAAATGATCAAAAACGAATTATAGAAATAAAAAAATAGCTTTGGGGCTGCCAGAAATGTATGATGTCAAAATGGCGTTACAATCCAAAAAAGGTTGGGAACCACTGATTTAGTCAGTCAAAGGAAACCCTCCAACATAACAGATGAAAGACTGTGACTGTGAAACACATTAGAAATAACACACACTTCTATTCCTTTTTAAATTAGACACCACATTCACTTTGTAGGAAAAAACTGTATTTTAGGGTCTTTTCTCCCAAACTGCTATTGGTAGATGATGCCCCACCGTTTGATACAGATCAAGTAACTGTGTCCACTCTCATTCTGATCAGGCTTATGGTCACGCATCGTGGTGGATTAGGTCAGTCATAGTGGATTATGGGGTTCATGGCAGAAGTGTGGAAACTGTGAGTAGCTCAGGTACTGACAAACTACTAATTACTACTGCTGTGCGGCATGATGCTGAAATGATTTATATAAAAGTAAAAATTATTGACATGATAGTGTTTTGTTTTATGGCAGTGTTGCTCTTATACATATGATGATAATCTTTTAGCACATCATAAAAAAAGGCTTTTATTTTGCCTTAGTAGACACTTTTTTGGCCAATGTATGCATTTTGTACATATATTTTATTCTATAATTTATATATTTATATATAAATACACTACAGGTAAAAATTACATACGACATACAACATACGACTTTTTGGTGTTCTTTATTTAAGCATATAAAAGGAAATGCATATATATTATTCACCATAAGATATTTGACAGCCAGAATGACACACACATATATGTATACATAAATATATTTCCCTTATAGATTTTATATATATATAAATGTTATTTATATATAAATATATATATAACATTTATGTATTAGAATATGCACATGTAAATTAGCAGTAATAAATTACAGTTTTAAATACACTGTTCAATAACATGACCTTGTCCATATTCTTTATTGACTCTATTCTATTCTATTATTTCAGGAAGAATTGCACAATACTTTTTCTAATTTGTGTCAATTTCATACCATAGATTAGAGGATGTGTGATTGGAGGAATAAGTATGTATGCGATTGCCATGAAATTTTTCACACTTTGTGATAAGTTTGTGTTGCCATATCTTATGTACAAAAGATCAAGTCCTGCACTGAAGATAAAAATAAACAGGCATATGACATGTGGCAGACATGTTTGCATGAACTTATTTCTGTTTTCATGAGACTTTAGGCAGTTTTTTATCAAAGAACCATAAGAAAATAAAATGAAAACAAAATGAAAAAAATAAATGGTGTAGTTAAAAGCAGGTACAATAACAGTTGCCACTGAGGCAGTACACGCTAATTTCCCAACCATTAAATTAATGCAGTATATTCTTGGTATATGGGAACCACACAGTCTTGGCAGTGCTGTTGTTATGGATCCAATCAACACCAAATGGATTGGCACAAACCAAGCAAGAAACACAAAAATGCCAACTTTTTCTTTAGTCATCACAGAGTTGTAGTTCAGAGGATGACATATTGCCACATACCTGTCAAAGGCCATGAGCAAAAGGAGAGACAAATCTGCACAAGATGAAGAGTGCAACACAAACCCCTGCAGCATACAACCAGCATAAGAAATGACATGAGTGGAAGACAGAAGCGCTTGGAGGAATTTTGGGTAAAAACCTGCTGTTCCATAGAGTCCGTTAATGCACAGATTACAGAGGAAGATGTACATGGGCTCATGGAGGTTCTTGTTGACAATTATTGTCACTATAATAGTCACATTCGCCATCCAAATTACACAGTAACACATACAAGTCAAAGCAAAAATAGTCAGCCTGTTATTAGCTGTGAGATTTAAAGGTGTCAGAGTAAAAACCACAGAATTGTTATCCATCACGATTAAAGTTCTTCTTCCCATTGTTAAGACAAAAAATTATATTAAAAAAGACATTAAACATTATGTCCCTTCCTTCCAAATAACCTGCGCTGCTATTCTAGGGCAAATTTAAATTCTTCAAGGGAAATGAACAGTCCAATCAGTGAAGTGAGATAAACCAGCTGACACTAACTTTGTCTTAAAGTTGTAAACTCAAACTTTAAACAATAACCCATGTAATGCTTGCATCACCCTCATTTATCCCAGTGGTACAATTTATGGAGCCGTTTGAATATAGACAGATATTAGTCAGAAAAGGTATGAAAAGCTGAAATTGTATTTCACTATTTTTCCTGAAAATATAAATATATTTTACATATACTATACTAGACTGAAGTTTTTCTTCTGTGTCACACATATCTACTTCTGCCATATTGTTGTGATTTTTAGGTGCCTCTATGTGATTCATTTGGTTTGCCTTTTTTAAAATAAATTCAAGGTCCAATCTTTCCACTACTACACTGTTGTAAATGGTCTGGACTTGTTTAGCTCTTTTCCTAATGACCCATTCAAGCACTTTATACTACAGGTTTTGCAAAGCCATGAATAATCAATCATTTGTCAATTCATGTTGCTGTGTGGCACAATATGATTCAATACCTTATGAGTAACTAGTTCAGTTATAGTGATCTGCAAAAATAAATAACATCTTTATTCTTATTGTTTCCTCTATTTCAACTGCTCATGATATACCAGCACTCCCATTGCCATCAGCTGGTTGATCGTGGTATCCTACTTATTGCACACCCCTGTTCTAAACAGTCTTGATCAACGAAGAAGTAACTCAGTCTAAACCCACCTGTGGTTTAAGCCATGCTGAAATTGAACCAGAATGTCATAATGCTTTCTAATGTCTCAAATCTCTTCTCTGTAGCACTCTGGGCCCCCGGCCCCTATGTTCAACAAAGGCCTTTAAGATTATGGAGGATCTTATGTCTACTTGAAGCTACTTGATGGAGACATGCCACTCTGCTTCTCAAGCATCGTCACCTCAACCATTTAACCACTGAAAAGTAAACCTTAGCCATAGACCTGCAACATTATGAAGGTAAGCCCTCAAGTGCTTCTAATTTATCAAGAAGTCGGCAGTCTAATTAGCTGATCCGTTCCAGGCTACACCGCTATCTTGTCCAATCTGTGTAGGGCCACGTGTTACAAAAACGCACACAACCTGCACACACTATGGTGGAACTTGAATTCATACTTGTATTTCTTACTGCATACACTACAGAAACAGCCTTTTTACTTGTCCCCGAGGCTATTCAGAAATTTCGTTAGTTCTTTAAATGGTCAAGCACCATCTTATATTTCCGAGCGGCTCAAGGTCTATAACCTGACACGTTCTCTAAGAACATTTTGTCTGTGCTTGTTGATCTTCCCCCAGACTCACATCTGACTACTGTACATCTGACTACTGTACATCTAACTTTCTTCTGTGCTTTTACTGTCAAACACTGTGAAAAGAGGAAAAACAAGACCATGTTTTTTTGGTTTCTGTGCAAATGTTACAACAAATCATTTCTTTATGAACACATTATCACATAAATTGATTTTCTACTATTAATTGTTATTATTATTATTATCATCATCATAACCAATAATAATAATTTACAGAATAAAGTAAAATAATAATCTACCATAAAATGCTGGGAACTGTGTATTTACTCCTCTAGGCCAACACAAGCACACCATATCAGCAACTTTAAGAAAGGTGCAGTGTGAACAATGCTGTCCATGTAGAAAAAACATTCAACAAGAAATCAGATAAATCTCAGTATAAATATTCATTCATTAAATTTAATGTTGTGCGGATGAGAACATAATTAAGTGAAACTTTGTACACTTCCATCTGTATGACAGCACAGCATGTATGTATGAATTTATTACCTGCATTTTTTTCTCACATGAAAAACAAATTCACAACCTTTTTACGTATTTGTGTCAGTTTCAACCCGTAGATCAGGGGATTCAGGATCGGAGGAATCAGAATGTATGCAATTGCCATAAAATTCTTAAAACTTTGTGATATGTCTGCATTTCCAAATCTTATGTACAAAAGGTCGAGACCTGCGCTCCACATGAAAATAAACAAGCATATTAAATGTGGCAGACATGTTTGCATGAACTTGCTTCTGTTCACACTAGACGTGATGCAGTTTTTAATCAGACAGGCATAAGAGAAGACGATGACAAGGAAATGCAGAGTATAAACAGTGTAGTTAAAAGCAGGGATAATCACTGATGCTTTTGAGGCAGTACACGCTAATTTCCCAACCATTAAATTAATGCAGTATATTCTTGGTATATGGGAACCACACAGTCTTGTTAATGATGTTGTTATTGATCCAACTAACACCAAATAAAATGGTACGAACCAAGCAAAAAACACAAAAATGCCAACTTTTTCTTTAGTCATCACAGAGTTGTAGTTCAGAGGTTGACATATTGCCACATACCTGTCAAAGGCCATGAGCAAAAGGAGAGACAAATCTGCAACTAATGAAGAGTGCAACACAAACCCCTGCAGGAGACAACCAGTATAAGAAATGACATGAGTGGAAGACAGAAGATCTTTAAGAAATTTTGGACAAAAACCTGCCGTTCCATAGAGTCCGTTAATGCACAGATTACAGAGGAAGATGTACATGGGCTCATGGAGGTTCTTGTTGACAATGACTGTCACAATAATCGTCATATTCTCCAACCAAATGAAAAAATAACATATAAAAGTGACAACAAAAAGAGTAACTCTGTTGGTGACCGTGAAGTCCAACCCTGACAGAGTAAATACAGAGACAACTGTTGCGTTATCCATCACATTCAGACTTGACTTATGGTCTCATTTACTCTGCACATTCAACACTGTGGTCCCCCCCCCGAACACGTGTTGTTCTCTTCTCTTTATACAGATTTATACCATATGACGATATTGAAGGATCCAACCAGAGAACTGAAACAAACCGGCTGGGACTGACTCCATCTAAATTTAGAACATTTAAAATGTTAAAAAAAAAATCTTGTGTCATCCTCATCTATCCTAATAGTGAACAAATGTAATTTTGCTGTACCAACATGAACATAAGTAAAGAAACAAAATTGTTACAAAGTATTTTTGAATTTAAAGTATTATAAAGTACTAAAGTAGAATCTGGGCAATAAATAAGACAACAATTGACAGGCTGACTGACACAATTGTCAAATGGATTGTTAGGGACAGTAGACTGATTAATAGTATTGAGGACGACGGCTTCATTTATGTCTATACAAATTATTATATTTCTTGGATTTTGTGTTTGTTTTTAAGCCTTGATGATAAAATATTACATGATATATATTGTAGTGGCACTTTGGCCCAGAGCCAATGTCTCTGTCGTTGGGGTGGAACCCCAGGGTTCACCTCCTGGACAAGTTTGAATCCCGGTTAGGGCGGTTGGTACCTTCCAGTGGACTCACCACCTGCAGGAAGGTTTGGGGGGGATGGTACGGTGCAATGTGCTGAGGGTGGTGACTGCTGCCCCTGCGACCCGGTAACGGATAAGTGAATGAAAATGGATGGATGGGTGGATGGATGGATGGATATATATTGTAATCATTGGAAAATAACTCATTTGTGTTTAAAAAAGCAGATTCAATTCAATTAAATTTTATAGACACAAGATATACAATACAATACAATACAGGTCTAGGTTTGCACAAAAAAGTAGTCAATATATTATGTGTAATATATAGTATATTTTATTGATAGGATATTTTGAACACATGTTGTACATATATAAAGGTTGTTAGCCATACAATTAAGTAAAAACGATTGACAATAAATTCTTCTCAAGACAGAGTTAGGGTTAGTTTGAAGTTTGTCATTAACACAGGTTTTTTTACACATTAATGAACGTTACCGTGAAAAACCTGGACATAGAATTAAACAAATACATTTGCTCATTCAAATATACGATAATGTAGACAAATCAAGGTTAAAAATGTATGACAAAATATTAACCACAAAGTTCTAAAAAAAAAGTTCAATATTACCATTGGGCCAAAACACACAGCAAATAAAACACTGGTGTAAAAAGAATCTAACAGACTCCGTCTCAGACCAAATAATTCAGTGATGTTTGAAGTTGAGACTGTGTTAATTCTGTAATCAGTGTTAGTTCTCTGACAGAGTGTAGCATTTAAATATGACCTTATTAATTCGTTTTTTTTTCACATGACAAATATTTCAAAATCCTGTCCCGTACTTTTGTCAGTTTCATCCCATAAATCACAGGATTGGTGAGCGGAGTAATAAGAACATGTGCAATGGCCATAAAGTTTTTAGTATTCTGTGATATTTCATCTTGGCCAAATCTTATGTATAAGAGATCCAGAGTTATGCTGAACAGAAATATAAACAAACATAATAAATGTGGCAGACATGTTTGCATGAACTTGCTTCTATTCACACTAGAAAAAAGGCAGTTTCTTATTAGGCAGGCGTACGAATAGGTAATGACAACGAAATGCAGTATGTAAACAGTGTAGTTCACAGCAGGAACAATGACAGCAGATATTGAGGCTGTACAGGCTAATCTATGAATCATATAATTAATGCAGTATATTCTTGGTATATGGGAACCACACAGTCTTGTTAATGATGTTGTTATTGATCCAACTAACACCAAATAAAATGGTACGAACCAAGCAAAAAACACAAAAATGCCAACTTTTTCTTTAGTCATCACAGAGTTGTAGTTCAGAGGTTGACATATTGCCACATACCTGTCAAAGGCCATGAGCAAAAGGAGAGACAAATCTGCACCTAATGAAGAGTGCAACACAAACCCCTGCAGGAGACAACCAGTATAAGAAATGACATGAGTGGAAGACAGAAGATCTTTGAGTAATTTTGGATAAAATCCTGCTGTTCCATAGAGTCCGTTAATGCACAGATTACAGAGGAAGATGTACATGGGCTCATGGAGTCTTCTATCTGCTAAAATTGTCACAATAATAGTCGTATTTGTCAGCCAAACTGCAAAATAACACAACAGGGAGAGAGCAAACAGTGTGGCCTTGTAGTTTGCCGTGCCATTTATCCCAGACATAGTAAAGACATAGACAGAAGTATTACCCATCACATTCAAAGTTCTTTTCTGCAAAGGCAGTAAACATTTTGTGTGTTATCCCCTAAAATCTATGTTGATCTTCCTTGGCCAAGTTTATAGCCTTCATGAGGATTGCACCATCCAATCAGTGAGTGAAATTAACTAAACCAGCTGAGACTAAAATAAAGTTTATCCCTGCTGTCTCTATGGTTCTCTAGGATGACGATGACTTATGTTGCCTGGAAAACTTTACTGACATCAAACCGACTCAGAAACTCCTACTGCAGAGACTATACACATATCACAAAGATAATAATTAGTAATATATCGTTTACAAATAAAACCCACATTAAAAACCCACATTTCAACTCTTAGCCTCGGTGTTTGTTTAGCAGGACAGACAAAACAAAGATATTGAAACTGCTGTTGACCTTGACTTATTTTTCACTCTGAGCCCAAAGAAGTCAGGACTCTTCTCTGTTGTCAGAATGCAAGAAAAAAGAAGGTTGATTATACACAAGAATTTAAGGTTGAGCGTACATATGTACTTTGGTGTTGATATATCCTAAATTAAAGAAATGGACCTGTGGTTTAATCCTGATGTCAATAAGCTGAACTATCCCTGAAAGTTTGAATTCATTTGTCGTCGTATAAAACTGAATTTGTCCCCTGTATTTGTGAAGGGAATTGGTGCTTGTTCAAGCATGTACTTTTGACCAAGTAGTGGAAGCAAACATAAGACATTAAGATAACCAGTATACATATGTTGCAAATCTGTGCATGTCACTTTGAACAACTGGAGTCAATGGGTACTGCTGTTGTCCTTTTGGGTTCCATTCAATACTTGGTAGTTTATACTGTATGTGGCTCTGGGGCAGCTTTGCTGTCAGTCTGTAGTAGACTGGCAAAACTTGTCTAGAGTCTGAAGTGCTTCAGTGGTCACTAAGTCTAGAAAAACACTAATGTATATAAGTACAGACCAAAGATTGCTTTAACCTTTATAATAATAGTTAGACTCAGTTTGCACATTTATTATTCACTATTATGCAACATAAAACATTTCAAGTTTATTTTGCCACAGGCAGGTTGTTTATTTAAACAATGAAACCCTCTGTCTTTTCAACATCAGATGAAAACTCTGTTTTCCGTATCATTATTGCTGTACTCTTGCTTTTTTCAGTATTAAGAAGCAAATGTATCAGTGTTTCAATAGAGGCAGAACATTTTGACAAACTTTGTTGTTGTTGTCGTCCGCAGTGGTTACTTTTCTTTAGAGTTTACCGGCAGGCAGGAACATTGAAAAGAGCCTAATGGCTCCATATCATTTGTCTTCTAAGCAAAGAATTTACAATCCTTTGGCGTATTTGTGTTAGTTGTAAACCATAGACCAGTGGATTGATAATGGGAGGAACGAGAAGAAACTCCATTGCCATGAAATTCTTGACAGCTAGTGGTAAATCCAATTGACCAAATCTTACGTACAGCAGATCAAATGCCACAGCTGTGATAAAAGTTGACAGACAAACAACATGTGGCAGACAGGTTTGCATAAATTTACTCCTGTTCTCACTTGAATACAGGCATTTTTTAATCAGATAAACATAAGAAAAGAAAATCAAAGTGAAATGCAGTAGGTAAACTGTGTAGTTCATGGCAGGAATAATGATGTTTGCTACAGAAGGAGTGCAGGCTAACTGTCCAATCAAAAAGTTGATGCAGTAGAGTTTTGGTATATGTGAACCACACAGCTTCAACACTGAAGTTGTTATTGTTCCCACTAAGACTAAATAAAGAGGTATGAGCCAAGCAAAGGTCAAAAAGATGGCAACTTTTTCTTTAGTCATCACAGAGTTGTAGATCAGAGGTTGACATATTGCCACATACCTGTCAAAGGCCATGAGCAGCAGGAGAGATAGCTCTGCACACACCGACGAGTGCAAGACAAACCCCTGCAGGAGACAACCGACATAAGAAATGACATGAGCGGAAGACAGAAGATCTTTGAGCAACTTTGGATAAAAACCTGCCGTTCCATAGAGTCCGTTAATGCACAGATTACAGAGGAAGATGTACATGGGCTCATGGAGTCTTTTATCTACAATTATGGTCACAATAATTGTCATATTCAAAAGCCAAATCACACAGTAACATAGAGCAGTTAGAGCAAACAGAAGTGCTTTGCTGTTTGCAGGAACATTTAACCCTGACAGTGTAAAAACAGAAACTATTGAAACATTGTCCATCACAGTTAGAGACATTCAACAAAGTGCTTTTCAACATTCTGGAACTTACTGGTGTCCTTACTCAGATTTATATAGCTCCAGGCACCATCTGTGAGGATGAAATGATCCAATCATTGAACTGGAATTGGCCTGTCAGTATCTAAGGCCTTCCCTTCTGGCCTAAATGGTATCAGAATCTGACTTATTTTTCAATAGAAATAGAATAGTCTGTTCTCATCATTCATTCTCATTCTCAGCTTTTCACTTGTTTACGCTGCTTCCAGCCATATGTACTCAACGAAAGTTGTATCAAAAGTATGTTTAAAATTGGGTATTGTGAGGCAACATTGACCTATAATAGTCAACTACATACATACGTACATATGTAAACATTGTGTGTGTGTTTGTGTGTGTGTGTGTATTACCTTATTTTAAACATATTTTTGATGCAACCTTCGTTGAATTGTTGTGGGCCATATAAAGAATGGATTTAGTATGAATGTTATTGATAAGTGTAGAAATGACTAGACAGTGACCATGATGTCCCATGTCAAGACCTCCATGTCCCCTTAACTCCATCACTCTGCTGCTCCACACAGTGGGAAAGTCAGTGGGAAAGTCAGATTGTTTGTTGTTCTCCTCAACATTGATGCTGCAGGTGATGTCACTGTGGTCCAGATCATTTGATCAGATATGAGCTGGGCCTGGGCCAGATTAAACTGTGGTCCATGATGGGTTCATGTGTCCTGGTATATTTTTGATGGCCTTGTTAAGAGTCCATAACCATAACCCTAACCCACATCTAACAGGTACAGAACACACCACGTCAGTATGTGGGCCAATAACTGTTGCATGTGGTTCTTGGTCTAACATGGAGATCATTTTAAGTAGGTTTTGTCAAATGGAAAAAATGAATATTATACAATATTTTGCCACAACATACATGACTGTAGTCTGTATAGATGAATGAAGGAATGAAGCGACACTTATGGATATAAAATCTTATTTGGTTTGATTCCTTTATTTCAGAATTTAGACATCCCCAGCGGATTGTTTCTGTTTTAATAAGTGTTTGAATTATGTTTTTTAACGTAGGTTATATTTAAAATCATCAATAAAAAACTGACATTAAATGACACTGAATGTTCTTTTTTAATGGCGCCACCTTTGTTCATCAGCCATGGTGTCGCCTGCGACCACTGTGCTTGTACAATGACCACAGTGATCATTATTAGCCACCTGTAAACAGCCTTGTTCCCTAAGGTTGGGTAGTTTTTCGCTGATGTTCATCAGGGAGGTCACGCTAATGACACCTGCATCAGTTCGGTCCAGATCTGCAGGTCAGCCTGGAGAGTGCTAATGACAAACATTAGAGACTGTGAAAGAGCACATCCAACATGAAAAAAGCCCATAAAAAAATCTTACTTGATTTGTTTGGATCAGTTATCATTTTTCTGATGATCCTGAGCTCCAATTATTGGTAAATAGTGTGATTGGCAGCTGGAAGACATTGTGTAGTGATCATTTGTGATGTCACTCATTAAAGTTCATTCAGTCAAAATTCAGTTTCCCTTGTTGTCATAAAAGAACCTCCTGATTAGCTCGTTACTGATAATGACCTAAACCATTCTTCACACTTCAGCCTAATCCTTGTTTATTGTGCGTACATAGAGAGAACAGCCTCTTGCGAACCTGAGTAAGATTGAGTCCATAAATAATTGGATTAAGTAGAGGGGGCAGTGTGAGAAACTGTACGGCCATGAAGTTCCTCACAGTCTGTGGTACAGTTGACCCATACCTAGCATACATGAGGTCAAACAGCATAGCAACAGTGACATTGAGCAAACAGAGTAAATGTGGCACACAAGTCTGCAAAAACTTTCTCCTGCCCTCTCTGGATTTCACGGCTGATTTTATCATGTGAACATATGAAAAACATATATAAACCACATGTGCAAAGTAGAAAATAATGACAATAAATCCAACAATATTATTGGTTGTTATTTGTGTACATGACAACTTCAGGATTGACCAGTTATCACAGTAAAGTTTTTCTATGCGAGAGCCACACAGTTGAAGTTTAGAGGTCAGTATCATGACAATAGTCTGGCAGAGCATAGGAACAAACCTGGAGAAGCACATCAACACAACAACCCTGCGTTTGGTCATGACAGAGTGATAGTTTAGTGGTCGACATATAGCCACGTATCTGTCGTAAGCCATCAGTGCAAGGACAGAAAAATCAGTAGTTGCGTAAGAATAGATGACAAATACCTGCAGCAAACAGCCAGTGTAGGAAATAACGTGAGAGTTGGACAAGAGATCATAAAGGAATTTAGGGTAGAAAGCTGCCGGCCCATAAAGACTGTTGAAGCACAGATTACACAAGAAGATGTACATGGGATCGTGGAGTTTTTCCTCCAGTATTATCATGAGAATCAAAGCTCCATTTACTGCAAACATCACGCAGTAACATAATAAAGACATAGAAAATAGAACGACTCTATGTTTTGCTGTCAAGTCACTGAGTCCTGATAAAGAAAACACAGCTGGAAGAGTTGAATTGGCCATGTTTGACCCATTCGTTAGAGTAATAGCCAATAATCTTACACCTTATGTGTCTCTGTCCTGGGCAGGTGACATTACAGGAACACACAAACACACCACCTGACCTTTCAACCAGGTAACATCCTTTATTATTTGCTGAGTAACGCTGAGGTCCAATCAGAATTGGACCTGATTTCTGACTCACTGCCTCACCTCTAACACAACTTTTTTCTGGCTGTTGTTGTGAAAACTTTACATTCAAAGCACTTTTGTGTGTGATTAAAAAAAAGACTTGATGGTAGAGACTTGGACCCAAATGCATGTACAGGTTTTAATGGCATTTACAACTTTGAAAGCCCTTGTTGTGCATGGTACTCTTGTATAAAATGAAAGTATATTTTCACAGTAAGGAGCCTCAACAGTCGCTGTAATCCATCAGATTAGAATAAGCAATTATCAGACCAGTTTGCCTTCTGACGTTGCTCATGGTCCATTTCTGATGCTAACATGCCCATGGTTAGAACAGTACTGTTAACACAAGCTGCCATTAGTCAAGATGTCATAGCTGATCTGTGTATACAAATACTCTACACGATCCACATTAAAAAGGTCCAAGGCCTAGATCAGTAAAAGGTTATCAGTTGGCTTAATGAAGTAAAACTGCTAATGTTGCACCAACATATAAGTGCTAACTGCAAGTTGTTATATAATGTATGTAAATGTGTTATGACTAGTTAATTGTGTACAGATAAAATATTTGTGACTTTTGTTAAAAAAGTATGACTTATGATTATCAATATTGTATACTCTGTACGTATATTCTGAATATACATTCAGAAAAGTACTTGTCATGGGTCTTTACAAAAAAAATTTAACATTAGAACAGATGAAAACAGAAAAGTTGTGTCTAATACAAAGTCAATACACAGGTGTTCCTCCACAGAGGTCAAAACATGACCTTAACAATAATTGACCCTCGTGGGGATTAGCTCCCACCCTGGACTAATGACCCAGAGGCCTAATCATGATGTTTACTCTGTATTTTTGTGTACTAGTTTCATGACATGGTTACATGATGACAGATGAGTGTTACATCAGCTAACCTCTGTTTTCTCCCTAATAACCTCATGTGTATGAACTAAGGTTCCCAGAGGAACAAGACTAGTTGAAGTCCCTCAGTGTCTCCGGCCACTGTTTACACACCATTAATTAATGAAAATGTTCGAGTGTCAGCTCTATTATCTTTCTTAAGTTATTAGTCTTCAAACTTTATTACCCCTCACTCCTCTCTATTTCTTTCTACTTTATTGTATTTAAATCAAACAAGAATTAAGACATAAACCATTAGAAGGTCATTTTTAATGGTCATTTTACTAATAACAGCATCCAGTCAAAGGCATAAATCATCTTGAATAAAAGCAGTTCAAGCTGTTCAGTTGATTTCATTTATAGAAATTTTTTAGCAGCCTAAATATTTTGCAACATTGTACAAATGCTTGAAATGTGGAGTACATTTGTTTTGTACATGTGTTTACATACAGACCTAAGTGAAACATGGAAAACAACAGCTTTGTCCACATTTAATAATGGATGTTACTTTCCATCTCTATAAACTTTAGGGCAGTGATAGCTTAGTGGTTACGAAAGCAGACTTGGGTCTAGAAGGTTTTAGGTTCAAGTCTGCCAGCTGCCAAGTTACCACTGAGCTCAAAGCTGCCCACTGTTCACTTTAGTGATGGGTTAAATGCAGTGACATTTCATTGTGTGCCACAATGACAAAGAGTTCACTTTTTCTTCTCTTGCACGTTGATATTCTTTCAACATACCTTTTTTCAGGGTGTGACCATAAATATATATATACGTTTTAAAATGTAAAATTTCAATTACTTCAAGTCCTTAAGTCCTACTTTTAAACGACACCACGCCACCACTGGCAAAGGAGGGAGTTCACACGGGCACCGAAAAAGCATGTTCCGCCACTAGATCCGCCCACCCCAATTTATGCTTGAATTTCGACCCGTGTTTGTTTTTGTCCGGTAAAAGTGCGAAAAATGTAATGAAATTTGTCCAGATTGTCGCGCATAAACGAATAAACACAGCATCCGAAGACTGTCTTGTAGACATTAAAATAGAAAGGAAGCCGTTTAGGCCCCGGCGTCAAAAGTACCGCCCAGTGGCCACTGAGCGGCTAACGGTAAAGGAGATGCTCGCGGTTTTTGAGGAAGCGGTGGCTGAGAACGACGACCGAGTAGAGCGGTCAGATCGGACAGTCGGTCACCAGAGGAACGTGCTCAGTGCCGGCATGAAGTCTCGTCAAGTCACGGTGCACACAGCAGGTCAGTTCTCGTTCATTGGAGCCAAAAAAATGACATGCTAGCTAAGCTGCACTTTCTAGCAAAGCTCATTACATTAGCTGCTGACATGTACTGTCGTGTCGCGACACGTCAACGCCACCGCCATGTTTGTCCGGGCAAGACGGATACTTTGTGCAAAAATAAGCATTCTTATATAAAGGCTGAAACGTGGACATCAAGGAAGTCTTTGTTTTTAAAAGTAATAAACATATTTATACTTTTGGAAAGTATAAATAAACTAAATAATCAATGTTGTCAGTATTTTTTGACTGGTGGCAGTACTTTTTGTTAGTGATAGCAGCTCGAGAAGTTGAGCTGCTATAAGATGGTGACTGCTGTTTTTTGACTGTCACTACTTCGTGCCTTTTTTATATAACTTTTTAATAGAATTTGCAGAGTACTTCATGCAAATACTTTAGAATACTTCATTAAAGTCTCTACTCTTTTCTGTAGATAACCAGCAGCTATTTGTGATTAAACAAGAGGTTCTCTGTGAACCTTGGAAGTTGAAACCAAGTGTGGACCGCGGGAAACTAACCTGCTCTCAAATAAAGGAAGAAGAGAAGGATCTGTGCATCAAACAGGAAGATGGTGATATTATTGCAGTGACTGTGAAGAGTGAGGAAGATGAAGAGCAAACAGAGTCCTCTGTGTTCTCTGTATTTCATTCTCAGAGTCCCAGTAAGAACAATGGAGCACGGAAACAACCAGAACTGTCTAAGGAGTCGGGCCTGGATCGATATTCAGAACTGGGTATTGAAGTCAAAGTTGAAGAGTCATCTGAGACTGAAGACAGTGAAGATGAGTCCAAGGACACAAGTGAAACACAAGCTTTTAAACCAGTAGCACTGATTACAGTTTCTTGTGATGATAGAAGAAACATGGATGAAAAACTTAGATGTTGCTTTTGTAGGAAACAGTTTAGTTGTAAGTCACGTCTGCTTCGTCACGAGATGACTCATTCAGGAGAGAAACCTTTTAGCTGCTCTAAATGTGGCAAAAGTTTTACTGAAAAGGGAAATCTCATAACACATGAAAAAATTCATACTGGAGAAAAACCATTTGCCTGCTCTAAGTGTGGGAAAAGATTTAGACTGAAAAACAGTTTGAGAACACATGAGAAAATTCACACGGGGGAGAAGCCATTTAGTTGCTCTGACTGTGGAAAAGGATTTACCCAAAAGATAACTCTGCAGTTACATGAGAGGATCCATACTGGGGAGAAGCCATTTTGTTGCTCCGAGTGTGGGAAATGTTTTCGACGAAAGAATGACATGTTGACACATTTAAGACGCCATACAGGAGAGAAACCATTTAGTTGCCATGAGTGTGGTAAAACATTCAGCCAAAAGATCAGTCTGAGTAAACATAAAAATAGTCATAAAGGAGAGAAACCATTTAGTTGCACAGAATGTGGGGAGAGCTTTGGACTACAGAGTGAACTGGTGACACATGTGAGACTTCATACTAGTGAAAAAGCATTCACTTGTGAAGAGTGTGGTGAAACATTCATCCAACAAAGCAGTCTGGACAGACATTTAAAAGTTCATATGGGAGACAAACCATTTAGTTGCCCTGAGTGTGGGAAAACATTCACCCAACAGAGCAATCTGAATAAACATCTAAAGATTCATACAGGAGAAAGACCATTTAGTTGCACTGACTGTGGAAAAAGATTTGCCATCAAGAGCAATCTAAGATTACATGAAAAAATTCATTCAGGTGAGAAACCGTTCAGTTGTTCCGAGTGTGGGAAAAGATTTAACCAGAAGAGCAACCTGAGGTCACATGAAAGTATTCATACAAGAGATAAACTTTTTAGTTGCTCTATTTGTGGGAAAAGATTTACCATCAAAAGTAGCCTGAGGTTGCATGAGAAGATTCATTCAGGAGAGAAACCATTTAGCTGCTCCCAATGTGGAAAAAAATTCATCCAAAAGAGTTATCTGAGGTCACACGAGAGAACTCATTCAGGAGAGAAACCATTCAGTTGCTCCAAGTGTGGTAAAAGGTTTAACCACAAGAGTGGTCTCCGGGCACATGAGAAACATCATTCAGAGGAGATTTTGAACTCGGGATTGCCAGAATCAGATTTGGTTGTTTTTGTGTCACAATAAAGTACAATTTACTTTGTTTGGGTTAGATGTGGAGAAAAGTTCAAAGATAATCTCCATCAAAATATCCACAGGATGCATATCATCTGGATGTTGCACAGTTGTTCCTGTTGTCTCGTGGTGTATTTTAGTAAATTAAATAATCTAAATATTCAGGATTGTGTTAAACCACCTGGTCAGAGACCATCACCCTCTCCGCCAACACCTCCATATATCCACATATATGTCAAATCAATATCTTTGCTGTAAATAATAAGGCTACCTTGCAAAATTTTATGTACAAATATTTCAATTCATAAAAATATTATTTATGAATCCCTTTGGGTTTTGTCTGTTGTGTGTATGTATTTATGTATATAAATGTGTCATTAAAAATGACAAACTCTGCAATCTTCTGTTACTGTAAATCTTCTGTTACCGCTTAAGACTGGTGTCATTGGGTTAGTTTCTACAAGTAGACAAAGATTTTTTTTTCTTTGTGGATTCTGTATTGGAAAAGGCAGAACATGAAGATCGCAGTTGAGAAAATCTTTTCACATTCCGTGTTCGAGGGTGAAGTTCCAAATATGTAGTGCAGTTCTTTTTGTGCACTTTTCACTGCCTTTATGTAGAAAATATAGGGCCTGCCATCATTCTCAAACGTGCGCAAATAATATTCATTGTCAACATCAGAAAGTTTCATATCACAAATATTAATTGGAAATTGTGGAGTCAATTTGATACTGTAATTATTAACAAAAACATAATGTATACGTCATATTCAGTTTAACATTAAATTCCACTAGTGAAGTTGAATTTGTTTCTGTTGTATTATTTTCTTTTGAAAGTGGAGATGACAAACAATCTTGTGAATTAAACGTGTACATGAAAATAGTTTCTTTTTCAGTATTATCTCTTACTGTATAGCTTTTTTTAAAATTTAATTTCCTACCTTCCTTTAACCAGTAGAGGGTAGTGTTACATGCCTATCACATGGGCAGAGGCAAATATTGACTCTTGCTGTCACTTTAGAGCAGGGTCGTTGTAACCGGGCATGCAACCCAGGTAAGAGCCTCGGGCGCCGAGCTGGAAGGGGTCCCGAAAGACAGCTGATTTTGGTCAACTATGGATTAATTTCAGCCGTCGGAAGGGCTTCCGTGGTCCTGTGGCCCGAGGGGTGTCCAGGAGAAATACATAAGTGACACGATATTCAAAACTTTCTGTGGACTTAGTGTATACCTGCGAATGTCCTCTTATTAAGTTATTTATTTTGAAATTGAATGTACCGGATATAGAATATGAGTATTGAGACTCTTCAAGACGTCGCTCTATTCGTGCTCGTCTCCGCCGACTACTCGTGTGTTGTGTGAATGGAACAGTTCGCAAAAATGTAAATGGTCGACATGTGCTGTGATACAACCGCAGACAAGGAACGACGCTAGAAGTATTCGCCAAAGTGCTACTTGCAGCCTGCAGGGGAGGAGATTCTTGAGAATGATGCTCGGTGTGAGAGTGAACTCCATTGAAGGTCAGTCGCTATTTACTGTAGTTAGACCAACTAGCCAAATAAATTGTTGCCAAGGTAAGCTAAGGGAATTAGCTTCTACTTCATTCTATCGCGTCGATATCGCTGACCGCTTAGTGCTGGAAAGAGAAAAACAGCCCCACAAATATAGTCGCTAAAAAGATGAACTCCTTAGGAAATCTACTCTATTCTATAGTATAAATTAAATGTAATCTCTGCTGTATATACCTACCATTTTTTCACGATATAAATATTTGTATAAGGATAAAGGAATTACTTTCGGCTTGTCTCTTCACCAAGGGTCACCATAGCGGTGGTCCACATATGTTTTGACAGATGCCCTTCCTGACACAATTCAACCTTTTGATTTGAAGACCAACTGGTTTCGATCTGGTGGCAGGAAACTGCAACAGTCCATGGAGTGGAGCTAGCGCCACTTCAGTTATACAGCTGGAACTACAGATGTGTGTACCTAAGTCCTTAGAAGTCTTTCCACTTTCTCCTGCAGATACCCAACAGCTGACTGGGATTAACAGGAAAACCAGCGCAGAATGACAGACTATTTTATTTTATGTCTTCTAGGGTTATCTATTGGCAAGAATCGAATACGATATGTATCACGATACGGGGCAACAATACGATATATTGCAATACACTGTGATATTACAGGCTCATCAATACATTAAGTCTTTGATTGTATGAAACGGTCAGCATAGTAAACACACAATATAGTATAGTATACACAATATAGTAACACAAAACATCAACACAATTCTGTTACATGCTTAACAACAGGATTGTAAAATTGGAACATTTGTAATCCTTAGAAAAAAAAATAGCATTTGAAGGATTTTTAGGATAAACAAAATCATATGGTTTGACTCAAGTCTCAAATACAATCAAACATAACAAAACTTTTTCTGCAATATCAACAGCCATTAGCGTAAGATAAAAAAAAAGGCTTCAATGCAGCAAAAATGAACCTATGTCATGAATAGGAATATTTACATATTTATTACACACAAATAATCAATACAGTGCTGTAGGATATCGATACAGTTTCGTTAAAGGGAATACTGCCATATTTTCTTTCACCCATAATGTCGCCGTCATTTTGAATGGTAATTTGTGTTTCTTGATCAGGGACTGCGTTCCTTCTCTGTGTGAGGACGACAGTGGATCTGTGCAGCAGCAGCCCACAAAGAAACGCAGGACACTGGGACAAGGAGAACAGCAGCAGTTGGCTACAGAGGTTGTAAGCTGTAATATTACACTATTTACAAGACACTCAATTAGGTGTTTTTATTTTTTTTAATTATTAATGTGTGAAATGGTGGCGCTTTGGCCCAGAGGCAATGTCTGGGCCATGTCTGGGTTGTTGGTGTGGAACCCCAGGGTTCACCTCCTGGGCAAGTTCGAATCCCGGTTAGGGCGGTTAATACCTTCCAGTGGACTCACCACCTGCAGGAAGGTTTGGGGGGGTTGGTACGGTGCAATGTGATTTGGGTGGTGACTGCTGCCCCTGCGACCCGGTAACGGATAAGCGGATGAAAATGGATGGATGGATGGATGGATAATGTGTGAAATGATCCTCTGCCATGTTTTGCTGTCCACTTCACTTCATTTCTGTGTAATAATAAGAACATATACATTTGTTTTTGTTACGCTGTGTTCACCTCACTTGTGGTTATTTCACACTGGGGTGTAAAACATATATCAGTACATCGAAATATTGCATTATTTAATTTAACAATACCATATTGATATTCAACAGCACTTTATTGATTTCTTTATTAACAATTAGCATAACAACAATGTGTGTTTTTACGATGCTGATTGACTGATGCAGTTTTCCTACAGTTAAATTGTTTTTGAAAAACTCAATATATCGCTGTGTTTATAGTATCACAATATATTGCAATATATTGTATTGTTGCCCATGTATTGTGATAGGACATGCAGATGGTTGGAATCAGAGTAGAGGATGCAGAGAACAGGGAGAGATGGAAATCAATGATTTGCTGTGGCAACCCCTGAAAAAAGGGACAAAGCCGAAAGAAAAAGAAGAAAAGAAGAAGTATTGTGATAGGTATTATATCGCCAGATTCTTGCCCATACACACCCCTGGTTCTCCTGAAGCGATCCCTGCTCCTTACTAAATAACCTGCTCATCTTGTGAGAGGACACTGATGACATCATTTAGCCTGACAGGTGTGAAAATTAAATTCTGATGTTTATCGAGTCACGCCAGAGACCTCGTCAGTGCCACTCTGCTGCAAGGAGACTTGTTTGCGCAGCATGCCGTACAGTTCCCAGATGCAGCACTGGAAACCACGGTGGAGGCCTACCCCACGTTGAACAAGGCCAAGCTGAGAACGGAGCTCTCCCTCATCTACGATAACAACGAGTTCAAGGCTTGCAGCGGTGCACTGACTCTGTTCCAGTTTTTCAGGGAAAACAACCTTCAGGGCACATTCACTGAGACCGTCAGTCTTCTCAATATTCTCATCACCACCCCCATGACAACGGCAGAATCTGAGAGATGCTTCTCTACTTTAAAGAGGATCAAGACCTTCCTGAGGAACGCCATGACGCAGGATAATCTAAACGCTCTGGCCATGCTCTCCATGGAGAAGAAACTGGTCAGAAACATCCCTGACTTCAATAACAGGGTCATTGAGAGCTTTGCTGCTCAGAAGGACCAAAGGGCCAAATTCCTGTACAAATAGAAATCACACACATGTGTCTATGAAGATTCTCAGTCATCCAGGTCGTGGTCAAGTTTGAAAGTTCTGTTAGGTAACTGGATGTGAATTTTGTAAAAGAAGACATTTCACCTCTCAGCCTCTTGGATGAGAGGTGAAACGTCTCACACACACATACACACACATTCCCTCAGTCGTCTTTCAGCTTTTCACAAGACTGCAATATTTTTCGATTTAGAAATTTACAATATTTTGTCTTAGTATATTTTTTTGATCAATTTATTTTATTCACTTGCTGCGTTGGAACTGTGCGTTCCATGTGTTCAGCTGTTTACCTACGCCACAAGGGGTCACTGATGTAACAGTCAATAGCCTTGGGTGTAAAAAGGTGTACATATGGTTAGATTATTTGTTTACATTTTCAGTTTCAAATGCACCATTTGTATTTGTGCAATATGCTATTTTTTTTCCCGAAAAATACCTCAACTTTTTAATAGTGGTATTAAATAATTCCCTAAGCACATTCTTATTCTGCTGTTTGTGTTACATTGTATTGGGAGAGAAACTGACTTTACCTGACACAACCCAACTATTTTTCACCAGCCGCTACTGCAGGTGACATTAAATTCCGATCGATTTCAAACATTAAAACAAATGCCCAACGTTTACTTTAGCTCAGTCCAAACATTCTAATTTGCAAAAAAAAAAAAGAACAAACTTTTTTTCTTTTAGATATACTGTTTTATTAGGAAAATGTCTCCTTAAAAATAAAAGTAATCTTTATAATTAAAAATGAACCACTGATATCAATAGTGTTATAAGCCAAAATTATAATGAAATACGTCACTACATAGTTATTCAAAACTTTCAGCGGGCTGTGTATTTCTGCCAATGTCCTCTTATTTTGAAAGTCATTGCACGGAAATAGAATGTGAACATAGTTCCCAGTAGCTGGCGACTCTTCAACAACTCTGAGGTCTGTTCGTGCTCATCTCCTGTACTTTGTGGGTCCTGCTGTGTCGTCAGGCTGGTTATTCTGATCAGTAAGAGCCGTCAAACTGATTATTCTTATGTTGTGGGAATTAAAGACTCCGATACTCGATATGTAGCCGCCGTGGCTGTCGCTACTTACAGCGGATAAGGAACGACGCTAGAAGCTTTCGCCGAGCTGCTACACTACAGCCTGCAGAGGAGACGATTCTTGGTGCACGCAAAGACAAAGTGGAGCAGAAGTCAGAACAGAAGAGAATGATGCTCTGTGTCAGACTGAACTCCGAAATCAGACTTCGCAGAGAAGGTCAGCCGCTATTTACTGTAGCCAGGCTAACTAGCTAAACAAATCGAAGATAAGCTAATGGCCTTAGCGTCTACGTCATTCTATCGCAGCCACACGCCAGTACCGCCGCCATATTGGTCCTGGCAAGAGAGAACTGCACCATTATGAAAGTAAATAGTCGAGTCGCGGGTTACTTGCATGAAAGGAATCTTTAAATTGTGTAATTGATTTATTGTATCTACCAAAATGTATATCGTACCTATCGTTATAGTTAGTAATGTTTTCTCTGGATTAAAAGTCTTGTTTTTGTCATAGTTTAGTTGGCTCTGCAACTGAAATTCCAAAGCGACTTTCTTTTACAAAACATACCCCATATCACCTATGGCCACAAGAGGGCAGAGTTAATGGTTTTCCTCAAGCTATAAAAACCATAACCACATTGTTCTTTCTATAAATAAAAGTAAAATGGCCGCAAAAAGAAAAAGCTACACTGCAGAGTTTAAACTGCAACTTGTAAAGTATGCAGCTGAAAATGGTAATCGAGCAACAGAAAGGAGGTTTGGGGTGAGTGAGAAACTTGTCAGAGACTGGCGAAAAACAGAGGCATGTCTTATAGCCATGAAAAAATCAAAGAAGGCTAACCGTGGGCTGAAAGCACGGTGGCCAGAGCTGGAGCAACGGCTCCACCGATGGGTCCTTGACCAGGGCGCTGCTGGCAGACATCCATCTACAATACAGTTACGTCTCCATGCTCAGCTCATCGCCGCGGAGATGAATATAACAGATTTCGCCGGCGGACCTTCTTGGTGCTATCGCTTCATGCACCGCTTCATGCACCGCAAACACTTGCCAAGCACAGCACCGACCACCATGTTTCAGAACCTGCCCCCAGACTTTCAAGTTCAGTTTGACAGTTTCCGTGTTTTTGTTAAAGAGCAAGTGACTGCACACCATGTGTTACCCGACCATATAATCAACATGGACGAGGTCCCCATCACATTTGACATCCCAATTAAACAAAGTGTTGCTGAGAAGGGTCAAACAGGTGTGACCACAGTGACAGCTGGCCTGGAGAAGTTTCACTTCACGGTGGTGCTGGGATGCTGTGGTGACGGTTCAAAGTTGCCCCCCATGGTCATTTTCAAGCGCAAGACCGTGCTGAAAACCAGGTTCCCCTTCGCTGTTGTCGTGGCCTCAAGTGAGAAAGGGTGGATGGATGAAGACACGATGAACTTGTGGCTTAAAAAGTGCTACTCAAGACGCTCCGATGGCTTTTTGAAAACACACAAAGCCCTACTTGTGATGGAGAGTTTGCCAGCATACATAACTGCAGGCATTAGAAGCAAAATCGAAGCTTGCAACTCCATCCCGGTCATCATCCCTGAAGGCCTAACTAAGATGCTCCAGCCACTCTACATTGCCGTCAACCAGAGTTTTGAGGCGGCCTTGCGTAGCCTGTGGGATGCGTGGGTGTTGGATGGCGAGCAGAGTTTAACGACAACTGAACGCTATCCAACTTTCCAGCAAGTTGTCGGATGGATTGACAAAGCATGGAGCGCAGTGGCAACAGAAAGCATCCTGTTGGGATTCAGACAGGCTGGACTAACTGGACCAGAGGCTGATGGTGAGTCTGACGAGAGTCAGAGTGCAAAGGAAAAAGATGCTACGTCTTAATCACAAATTGGTGGAGTTGTTTAGAGGAAACACAGTGGTTAAAGAATATATTGGATTCAGAGATGAGGAATAAGATCGTTAGCCTGAAAGTTAATATTTTTTGGCCAGTGTTCTTTAGACTGTTGTGTTAATAGTTGTCCAGATACATGTCTGTTCTTTGAAATAACTGTTAAAAAAAATGAATGCAAACTTTATACCAGTGTTCAAAATATTGTTTGGAAAATCCAGTATTATTAAAGTTCACATATATTGAATACTAACATTGCTCTAAGTAGTGAGAAGTCAGTAAGATGAAGGTGCCAGTTAAGGTGTTGAACCCCCGTCTCTAATGTCTCATTACTTTTCTTTTGCAGAAAACCAGCAGCTGTTTGGGGAGTGGGAGGGACCGCCAGATCAACCTTTTATTAAAGAGGAAGAGGAGGAAGTTTATATTCCAGAATATGAGTTTGATTTCGCTGCCAACACTTCACTGAGTGAGGAAGATGAGAAACAATGTGAGTCTTTACAGTTTCATAACCAGAACTACAAATGGGAGAACAGTCCAGAAGGATCAGAACCAGCCAGAGGTTCTGGTCCAAATAGAGACTTAATGTCTGCAGCCGAGGACGGGACTGTAGACTTTTGTGAGGGTTATGGTAAGAACACAGAGTGTAAAGTCAAATAACAACACTTAAGTGACGTGTGTACCTAAGTCCTTAGAAGTCTTTCCACTTTCTCCTGCAGATACCCAACAGCTGACTGGGATTAAAGAACAGTCAACCATTGAGCAGATAGATTGGAGAACCAACATCAAAGAGGAAGAGGAGGAACTGTGCATTCATCAAAATGATGCTGATATAAAGGCTGTGAGTGTGAAGAGTGAAGATGATGAGGTGAAACCCCAGTCCTCAGGCCTTAACCCTCAGAATCCCACAGATAAGAACTCTGAAGACTGTGGTGGACCAGTTCTTTGCTGGAACTTTGGTACAGACGTGCATTTAGAATCTGACACTGAAGAGGAGACGGAGGACAGTGAAGATGATTGGAAGGAGAGCAGTGAACCTTCCAGTTTAAAGACATTTGGTAACAATGGCATTCTCAGTAAAAGGCCAAGAAACACTGGTGAGGAACTCGGCTGTCCTGAATGTGGGAAAACATTTGCTTGTAGGTCATATTTGCTGAGACATTTAAAAAGACATACTGGAGAGAAACTGTTTAGTTGCACTGAGTGTGGGAAGAAATTCACCGAGCGGGGCAGTCTTAGGATGCATTTGAGAATTCACTCTGAAGAGGAACTCTTAAGTTGCTCAGAGTGTGGGAAAAGATTCACACGTGAGACACATCTGACAAGACATATGAAGATTCACACAGGAGAGAAACCATTCAGTTGCTCCGAGTGTGGTAAAAGATTTACAGAAAAGGGTAGTCTGACAATACATGAGAGAATCCATGTAGGTGAGAAACCGTATTGTTGTTTTGAATGTGGGAAGAGATTTACCCGGGATACGCATTTGAAAAGACACGAGAGAATTCACACCGGGGAGAAACCGTTTACTTGCTCTGAATGTGGACAAAGATTTTCCCAGGAAACGCATCTGAGAAGACACGTGAAAATTCATACAGGAGAAAAACCGTTTGGTTGCCCCGAGTGTGGGCAAAGGTTTACCAGGGAGACACATCTTCGTAGGCATGTGAAAATACATACAGGAGAAAAACCATTTAGTTGCTCTGTTTGTGGGAAAATGTTTACCAGGGAGACACAGCTGAGAAGGCATGAGAAAATGCACACAAAAGAGAAAGGCTGCAGTTTCACGGAATGTGCAGATGCGAATCCATGGGTTGAGCATTTGTCTTTTGATGATATGGTTGTGGGTTTGATACCCAGGTCTGATGGTTTAAATGCCACTGAATGAACACCTTCGGCAGGTAAGTGGCAAAAACCTCGAGATGAAAGTGCTGACGTCAAGAATAGATAATTGTTAGGTCAGAACATACATATTTTACTATGAGAATATTTGCTTAAAATGTTTCTAAAAACATTTTAAAAATTGTGTTGGAAAAATCACGCAGTTATGTGTGACAATCAGTTCTCATAATCACACAAATGTCACACAAACTGCACAGGCTAGTTAATACTTAGTATTTGGAATAATAATTTTCAGTTCAGTTAATCTGTATCTTGGTAAAATCTTTGTTTATTCTTTTGAGATTTTTTGGGTTTTAAAAAATATTTTTGTCATAACCTGACATCTGTGGCAGGAAGACAGGATTTTTGTTACAACAATGTCCTAGAGATCTTTGTTTTTCTGGGCTAAGATTTTCATGTTCAGATTAACATTTAGGAAACAACTATTTGTCATTGTGATAGCGCACCACTGCACACAACCAAATATGACCTCTGTTTTTAACCCATCACCAACAGGGGGCAGCTTTAAGCGCCCGGGAACGGTGCCATGCTCAGAGCACCTCAGCGGTAACTTGGCGTGAAGCCTTCGTCCGCTTCCTTAACCACTAAGTCACCACTGATCCACTTAGCATTTTTGGTTACAATTTTTGGTTACAATTTTTTTTCAAATCTAGCTGAGATTTGTGAATCGGGTCCAAAAGAATAGAATTGTGTCAATTGTTAGGTTAATTCTTATCAAGAGGCCTAGTGTTGATGGAACTACTCCAGCTGTAATGCTTGTTTCTGGAAGAAGGATAAAAAATTTAAAGTAAAGTTTTTTTCCTGAATCACTTGGAGTGGAGTATGTTATTATTTCTGTTATTTATTGCTTATTGATGGATTAAATATTCATATTAATTCTGAAGCCAACCCATTTTATTCTGTATTTTTCTATGTCTAACTTGGATCATGTAACACGTACAAATTTTATACTACTGTATTTTCTCATTAAAATCTGAGAAACTGATGATGTAGGTTTGTTTTGGGGACCTCAGACACACTGGACACAAAGTGTTTTCACAAACAGACTTTCGCCAGCCCTGACCCCTGTACTGCACAGCTGCAAGTCCTGCTGGGAAGAGTCTGCCAGGCCAATGGTGACAGAACTGGCTAACAAGACCTCAGCTGATTTGTGGAGCTCTACTAACTTTGGTAAGCAAACACATTGACACATTCTTGCATTTGCAAAATCAAGATGAAAAGTTAAACTTCACTAAAAGTCTTATAAAACGAGATAAAAAATAAAAACAGGTAATGTATTTGAAAATAAAAATATTTAAAACAACGACTGCTCAATTGATTTTCAGTGACTACTGGATGTGAATAGTATGGCCAATACAAGTGGAAAATGTACGGTGAATGGCGATTCAGACCAGCGAAGAGATCTATACGTGTTTCAAAGCACACCCACCAGAGGTCAGTATTTAGTTACACTTTAATACAAATTACTGACATTTTCCAGTGTTCTAGTCATATTTTAGTTTTTAAAATAATGTGGAATTTAAAACCTGCAATCGTGCCGACAGACTTTAGCAACACACTTTGTTGGATTTACAAGCATTACTTTAATATTTCCCTGATCCCATATACTGCGTTATCCGTACAAGCACAAAATGGTACAGCGAGTTAGCTTTAGCTAGCAGTAAAAGACCACACATAATGTTAAACTAATCCAACTCCTTCAGCTTCAAACAATCACCGATAGTTGTTACAGGTCAGACTCAATGTAACAGACTAATAAAGTTAAATAAATTGTTCAGTGACAAACTAACTTGTAATTAATTGCTGTTAAAAGGCAAATCCCTCCTATTTGCAGCAGCCGTTGGTTATGCTTTGCATAAAAGTTTTTGACCGCCTATAACAGGGGGTGCTGTAATCATTTGTTATATTGATGTCAAATTAAAGGCCTTTCTGGTACGTTCTGGACTTTAAAACGAATTACTCTCTGTGACGTTGTCCTCCCGAAGAGGGCGCTACAGAGTGGGTAAAATAGTTACTCCTTTGCATGTACTAACTAGATGACTAGTCAGCAGTAGAGTCCTGTGAAGGGAGGAGTTTGTGTCCAGACCCACTGACAGTATTGCGTGATTCACTCACATCACTACATTCCTGTAGACACTAGGTCACAGTATACTCGGTGTCCTTTCTAATAACTTAACAACCATGAGTTCTCATTCTTCATACAAAAGCATTTTTACTGCCATGTCAGCATTTAAGTCGGTTAAGTAACTAGTGAAGATGACGTGTAGCTATTATATTCATGCCTCCATTTACCCACAAACACCACACAGGACAAAGTATTACAAATTTTAACACTTTATTCAAACTGTACACGTACAACAGGCATATTTTGATAAAAACGAGTAAAAAAGACAAAAATGAGTAACCCCATAAATACAATGTCTGTAGAAAAACAGCCTGTGTTCACTTTGTATGTTGCATACACACAAACACACTCATATTCCTTCTGAAAATGAAAAAAACAACAACAAACAAACAAGTCATTCGAGTGAATCTAATGTCGTTGGCAGAGTTTGGCTCACAAAGTGTGTTTGTCTTGTTAGGTAGAAGCACGCTGGACCACAGGTGGATTCCTGTGGGAGTGCTTTGCCCTGCATGTAATGTATAACCAGGGGTTTGAGGTATGTAGCACATTGGCATGGGAAATGTGAAGTTCTTTTACACAGACTGTTCTGACAGCAAACTGGAAGTTGGCACAAAGTATTTCTGGTACACGATCACACAGGACACAGTGTTAGAGGTTTGAAGTACCGTGTCTTTAAGGTCAGACTGTCTTTGAGGTTTTCCTCAGTGCTGCAGGACACAACACACTGCAGGATATATAACATACTATATGTAGAGAAACAAAAACTTTTGGCATAAGTATTTTTTCCTTGTAATAGACGAACGTGACATCCTTACGAAGGAAAACTCAGTACAAAATGTTCTGTAAGTTTGCATTTCCATTCATTTCTGAGATTCAATGACCTGAGGTTTCTGTTGAATTTATTTTTTTAAAAGTATTTAGGCAACAAAAGAATCAAGTCACACACTGCCCTAAAATACTTTGAAAATGTTTTATAAGAATATATACATATATTTGCTGCTGTGTTATTAAAAGGCTTGGTGGTAATTTAAAAAAAATATTGTTCTGATTGTTTTTTCTTTCAATTAATGTATGTTTTTTTGTAAGTATTTCACTGACGTCTGCTGTGGTCTCCACCCACTTAATGCATAAAACCACTATCTCCACACAAGACGCTGCCTGGGAGGACAAAATAAAGTTAAAGTTTGTTTCAGGGTTGACAGAAAAAAGTCATTCAGTCGTTAAAACTTCAAGAGAAACAACATAGAAGAAATATAGAACTATACTACTATAGGCCATGAATAGAGCTGTATCATGGGTAACATCCTCATCCAGGATGAAACAACATTCTAATCCTGAGCCACCATTTCTACTCCAAGGACTTTAAACAGGTCCTTGAAACTGTGCTTTGGATGTTTTAAAAGCTTAAACAAGTCTTTCTGACAGGGGATCCCACTGAGAGACCACACACTGGGACAAACAATTAGAAGTTGAGTCTCCATTACAGACAGTGAAAGATTCTCTGTGTGTGTGTGTGGTCTCTTACAGTCAGGTCATCTCATAGTGGATCAGTCATTTGTAACACTTATAAAAGCTGTGCAAACCAATACATAACTTCATTCACCTTCAATGTGAACATTTAAAGCAGAAGCAAACATTCAGTCAGAAATACAAAGTGGAGGAAAAAGAATGAAAAAAAAATAAAATAAAATTGGTTATTATAAGTTCTGGGCTGCCACACGCCACCTGTTGACACGGCCGGTGTGTGTTTTTTTCTTCTTGAAATAAAACACGAGATTGTACTCTGCAATATGAAACAGTATTAAAGCATTTCAGTCTGAGGCTACATGCAGAGAAGGCTAGCTGTATGTTACACAATGTGGTCCCAGCATTTCCAATCAAACCTCACAGTCTGTGGGGATTTAAAGACCCATCAACCTTAGTGGACAGAAAGTACATTCAACGTGTAATATTTAAGGTTATGATCAAACATATGTAGGAAATTTCATACTATGTAACTTAACATGTCTGGCATCACAGTTCAGAGACCGGCGTGGTCATTTAACACCAGCTTTTTATCCACAAGCTGCAAAAGCCATAGGTGTGGGCCGTCTGGTGACAACAACACCAGGAGTAAAAAAAAGAAATGTATTGAAAAATCATCCAATTTTTATTGAAAACAGATCAAAGTGTGTCTGTCCAACAACCAGACTTACTGCATCAACTTTAAAAGACCAGAATCCACTCGTCACAAATGTCCAAAATCTCACTTTTGTCTTAAAAGACAGCAATTCTGTGGTTGTCAGATCAAACCTCTAAGATTCTGTGCCGTTTCATATTCCCACCTCACACTGTTGTCTCCCCATGATTACCATTGCTAAGGCGCTTGTAGAACCTCCGCCAAGACTGAAGGGTCTTTCCAGACCAGACCCAGAAACCAGAGGTGATTCCCACTATCATGGTCATCAGGTATTTGATCATGAACACGGTGAAGTCTGGGGTCATGGGGGCAAAGTTGTGAGCTGGGCACTGGACGGCAAAGCGCTTACAGGTCTGCATGTGCCAGGTTCGCTCCCATTGCTCCCTGAAGGCCTGCTCATAGAAGTAACAGGCGATTACTATAGTGGCTGGCACTGTGTAGAGGACACTGAACACACCAATTCGAACCATGAGCTTCTCCAACTTCTCTGTCTTGGTACCATCATGCTTCATGATAGTGCGGATGCGGAACAGAGAGACAAATCCAGCCAGGAGGAAAGACGTGCCGATAAACAGGTAGACGAAAAGTGGCGCTAGTACAAAGCCCCGAAGAGCGGCCACATTGAAGCTCCCAACAAAACACACCCCAGTCAGGACATCTCCGTCCACCTGACCCATAGCAAGGATGGTGATGGTTTTAATTGCTGGAACAGCCCACGCAGCGAGGTGGAAGTACTGGGAGTTGGCTTCAATTGCTTCATGACCCCATTTCATTCCAGCACTAAGGAACCAGGTCAGGGACAAAATCACCCACCAGATGGAGCTGGCCATACCAAAAAAGTACAGCACCATAAAGAGGATAGTGCAGCCCTCTTTCTTGGTCCCCTGAGCCACAGTCCTGAAGCCCTCGTCTTTAAATTTGTCAACACACACAACTTTATCTTTCAGGAAAAATCCAGCAGCATATGCCACAGCCACCATAAAGTAACAGCCCGACAGGAAAATAATGGGCCGATAAGGGTATCTGAACAGCTCCAAGACAACCAA